ATAAAGCATGCCGGTTTTAAATAACAAAACGGCATTTAATTATAACGCGTGCAATTTCCAAAAGCGCTATACCTTTTTTTATCCATTTTTCCTTTTTATTTTAACTTTAGCCCTTACTTATTATTTAATAAATAAAAGCATTTTTATAAAAGGAATAGCCCCGAATTATTACGGTTTTAATGTTACTTTTTTAATTTTTTCGTTATTATTACCATTTTCCTTTTTTTTAAAGTTAAATTACGAAAAGCAAAATTATTTTAACGGAAAGCTTTTTTATTCCTTTTTTTGGTTTTATTCTTTTATTTGCTGCCCGGTTTCGGGTAAAGCTCGAAAAAATGGCTTACCACTTTTTTAAACTTTTTAATTTTAAAACGAAAGTTACCCAAAAGCTTTTTTTAAAATAAAGCAATTGCAATGCGCAATTGGGGCAAAAAAGGAAAAAGGTTGTAACGGTAATTGCTTTAAGCACATTAAACATACCGTAAAGTACAACCGTTCCAAAAGGAACGCGTTATGGGCTTATTGCTATAAAGGCCCCGAAATTTTATTAAAAAGCTTTTGGTGCATTTATTGCATGGAACCGCGCGGGGAATGGTATTATCGGAAAAGCCAATTGGAACGTTCCCGTTAAAAAAAGGTCGACGGTTTCGTTAAAAGGAAAGGTTAAATAGCATTTTTTTTAAGGATTAAAACGGAAAAAAAGAGGTGGTTAGCATAAAACCCGCGAAAACGGTTGGGAACGAATTAATTTAATTATTTACCTTCGTTTTTTTACTTGCTTTGCGCTTCCGGGTATTGGAAAAAACGACGGGCTTATTGTTATTATCGTTATTTTTTTAAATAAACCGATTAATAAATTTATTAAAATTAAAATCGATTTTAATTATTTAACGAGCAAGTTAATTAAGCTTAAAGCTTTTGCTTGGTTTAGCCAAAACTTAAAAAGCACCGGTTAAATTAAGTTAAAAATTAAAACGAAGGATACGAAAAGTAATAAAAATAACCGGAAATTCGAAAACGGTTACGGCAATATTAATCGGGGTTTAAATTAAAAAACGGCGCAAAGCTTTTATCCGTTTAGCGTAACGAACCCGATTAGCTTTAACCCGCTTAGCGCTTTTAGCAAACGCACGCGCTTTTATTGCTTTAATTGTTTAAGCGTTATTCCAAGCCTTTTTGCGGGCAATTTATTGCTTCCGCGCGTTTTTTGTATTTCGCTATTTATCCTTTTTCGTAAAGGATTTACTTTTTTTTTGCTTATCCTTTTCGATTTGCTAAGCTTTTTTTTTTTTTAAATAATGCTTTTTCCGTTTGCTTAATTTTAATTGCTAAAATAGCCATAACCGTTTACAAATCCGCATTATACGCGCACAAAACGAAATTAGCAAAAAAGCAATAAGTTGGTAAAAAAGCAAAAAGCTATAACTTATTTTTTTGGGCTTAAACCCGGTTAAGCTTTTTGCGTTTAACGCGTTTTCGAATAATTGCACGCGTTGCTTTATTACCGGCAATACCCATTTTCCAGCCAATTTATTAATACCGCACGATGCTTTTAAAATATTACGCCGCCGCGTAAAGCACTTACAATTATTTGCTTTTGCTTTTACAAAAATTTTTGTATTAGCAAAGGTTTAAACGATAAGAACGAAAGCGTAAAAATTTACGGATTGGTAAAAAAATGGTGGTAAAAAGGAAAAAAAAGGAAGGCCGGAACGAAATAAAAAAAAAAAGGTTTTAATTGCTACGCTTACTTTTTTCCGGTAATGGTTAAAGCATTTGCTTTGTTGCTTTTAGCAACGGGAAACGCTTGCTTCGTTACTTTTCGAAGTTAATGCGTTTTTACGGTTACCTTTTAAAAGCGAAAAACGCTTATTTCGTTACTTTTTAAAGTTAATGCGTTTTTACAATTAATTTTTAAAAGCGCGGTAAGCTTTTAAATCCCACGTTATTAATATAGCAACCAATTTTTTTTTGTTTTATTTACAAACAACCCAAAAGGTTTGCTTGGGGGGTATGTTAAAAAATAAATAATATATATTGTTATAAAAAAGCTTTAAGCATAAATATTAAATGCTTAAGGCATTGGAAAAGCGGTCCCCTTGCCTGGAAGCGTATAACGCTTCCAGGCGTTAGGAGGGAAGCTTAGTAAGCAAGGAGGACAGGGAGTTACGTGTATATAAAGGGCAAAGGCCTTTACGGGACCCTGCACTTTAGATCCTTTCCTTTTTAGAGCATATTAACCGGAATAGCCTTATACCGTGCCTATCCCTTCTGCCTGCAACATTATTCCATTTCCACTAGGATGTTTGCTATACCATCAGGCGGTCTTGAATGCGAATCATAGGTTGCATCCGTTATGAAGATGATAAGAGTCTGCTTTAGGTTCCCAGTCTCGTGGGTTATGTGCTGTTCCCTGACCCAAAACGCTCCGTCTCAGGCTTCGACAGCCAGCGGTAGACTACGCACCAAGCTCTGGGGCTACCCACCTCCCGTTCTTGCTCTCATAGGTAGTGTATTCCCCACCACCGCTATCTGAGCTAGCATACTCGTTGCGGTCCAGATGAGCGCCTATAATCACCCGTTAGATAGTATATATCACCGGTCTGCCGTGGGTTTTAGTAGTCTTGGAACATCATCAAGCTGATCGACGGCGACGGGTTGGCCAGCCTAATTAGCGCCAGGCAGTCTCAAGAAAGAACGCAAAGCACATCTCTACCGATATAAAATCCTGCCTACTTGTAGACGGATAAAGATATGTCCATAGTCTAGAGGGATACGAGCAGTTCTATATTAGGATTTGACACCAAGAGCACTTATGGCGCCAGGACGGCAGAATGGCCAGCAAAATTGCCGAATTTGGCAGGTCAATGGTCAATGCCAGCACTCGCCTGCGCCTGTCGATCGACAGCGATCGACGAGGAACCAGAGGGGGGTCCTACGTTAGTGGCTTGGCGCTGCGGGCTTGGTGGCAGACTCGGGCAATATCTCAGGGGGCAGCGGCACGCCCGGATCAAAAAAAACGGGACACTTTTTCAATTGGTGGTGGTATGCACTGGGGCAAAAATTGAAAAGTGTCTCGTTTTTTTTTATCCAGGTGTGAGCGGCTCTTTGCGGGGAGGTTCTATTCTGCACAGGATCCACCGTATCCTTGTCAGCCATCAAAGGGGTGTTGGGTGCGCCAATCACGAGCCCGCGCGAGTTCAGGTTCCCGCTCACATGTATTTGGGACCTGCCGTTCCCGTCGACTGCAGTGACATGGTGTAACCTCGTATTTGCACCTCGGGACCCGATCCATGCCATGGAATCCACCCGCCGACATGCAAATTTCACCGCATACGACTGCAGATGGACGGGTAGGCACCTGCTTGCCCAGACAGCTTCTAGTAGCAGCATCGTCGGCGTGCTTAAGAGAGGTTCCCCTCGCCCGTCTCAACATGGCCTCTCCCGTTCTGTTCAGCCCCAGGTCTCTGGACTCCTGCTGCATCCCATCGCCGTGACGACGACGAGATGCACGCCACGCGAGCACTCCTTCTTCTGGGCCTAGGCCTCCTAAACGGGGCCGCGGCCCTCCGCGTGCGCTCAGACGGCACTGTTGAGGATCCCCTCGCCGGCGGCAGCAAGACCATCATCGTCGAGCTGGCCAAGGGCTGCAACATCGAGGGCGTCAAGCGCAAGCTGCAGGAGCAGTCTGCAGGCACAACTGTGGTCAAGACATTCGAGTCTGACATCTTCACCGGCATCAGCGTCGAGACCACCGACAACACGCTCGAGTCCCTCCAGGGCCTGGCCGACGCCGTCAAGGCCTGGCCCATGCGCGTCATCGACATCCCCACCCCCGAGCGCGGCCAGACGTTCAGCACCGACGCCACGGCCAAGGAGTACTCGCTGCACAAGTACACGGGCGTCGACAAGATCCACGAGGCCGGCGTGTACGGCAAGGGCGTCGTCGTTGCTGTCGTCGACACGGGCATCGACTACACCCATGCCGCTCTTGGTGGAGGCTTCGGCCCTAGCCACAAGGTCGTGGGAGGCTACGACCTCGTCGGAGACGGCAACTACCCCACCACGCCCAGGAACCCTGACCAGGACCCCAAGGACCAGAACGGCCACGGCACCCACGTTGCCGGCATTATTGCTGGCAAGACGGACCACTTCACCGGTGTTGCTCCCGAGGCAACCCTGCGGGCCTACAAGGTCTTTGGAGCTGGCAGCGGCGGCACCGAGGAGGCCGTGCTGATCGAGGCGTTCCTCATGGCCTACAAGGATGGTGCCGATGTCATCACCGCTAGCGTTGGTGGTGCCGACGGCTGGGCCGACAGCGCATGGGCCGTGGTGGCGTCTCGCATTGTCGATAGCGGTGTCGTGGTCACCATTTCCGCGTCAAACTTTGGCGTTTTTGGCCCCTTTGTCGCCTCGTCCGGCAGCTCGGGCAAGAACGTTATTGCTGTCGCCTCGGCCGAGGGCGGAGATCTCTCTGCGGATCCCTTCATTGCCAACTTCACCCTCAATGGGAACACCAATGTGTCCGACCTCGGCTACGTCCCCAGCGACAAGGCCTGGAATATCACCGGTATGAAGATTGTGCCGACGTCGCTCAACACATCCGTCGTCGATGATGCGTGCCAGCCTCTGCCCAGCGGGACTCCTTCCCTCCAAGGCTCTGTGGCCCTCGTCCGCCGCAGTGGTTGCGAGTACGCGGTCAAGCAGGCCAACGTCGAGGCTCTCGGCGCCAAGCACCTTTTGTTGTACAACAACGACGGCCTCTGGGCCGTGCCGTTTACCCAAAGGAAGAGCTCCGAGCTGGCCCTCGTCGAGGCCAAGGCCGGCAAGGCCATCGTGGAGACCGTCGCTGCCGGCGGCTCAGTGGTCGTCGACTTCTCACAGAAGCACTCTTACAAGGTCGGAGTCTTCAACAGCGCCGGCGGCAGGCCCAACGACTTCACCTCGTGGGGCCCCCTCTGGGATCTGCAGATCAAGCCTGACGTGACGGCGCCCGGCGGCAACATCTTGAGCACCTACCCCGGCAACCAGTGGATGGTCATGAGCGGCACCTCCATGTCCTGCCCTTATGTCGCTGGTGTCGCTGCCCTATACGTCAGCGCCCACGGCGGCCGTAAGGTCCACGGTTCCGGCTTCGGCCGCGAGATGTTCCAACGCATAGTCTCCAGCGGCGGCGCCCTTCCCTGGTCCAACACCGACCCTTTGCGGACCGGCACTGTGGCGGACGACAAGGGCTTTTTTGCGCCCGTTCCCCAGGTCGGCACGGGCATGATCAACGCGGCCAAAGTCCTGTATTCCGATACGCGAATCGCCTTTGAACCGTTTGCGCTCAACGACACGGCCAACCTTAGGGCTGAGCACGAACTCGCCATTACCAACAGCGGGAAGGAGCCGGTCGAGTACAGTTTCCAGCTGCAGCCCGCTGCCGGAGTCGAGATCTTCCAGCCCTACAACCAGTTTGGTGCCCGGAACAGCATCTTTAAATCCCTCGAAGACCTGGAGCCCATCAGCCTGGTCCCGGGCGTGTCCATGCCGGAGCCCATCACGGTCGCGCCGGGCGAGACGCGCAACGTCAGCTTCAGCTTCGCGGCGCCGACCGGGCCCGGCGTCAACGCCAGCAATATGCCGCTCTACAGCGGCAAGGTGCTCGTCACGGGCGGCAACGGCGACTCGCTCTCGGTCCCGTACATGGGCGCCGCCTTTAGCCTGGCCGGCGAGTTCAAGCAGATGTGGAGGAAGGGCAGCCCCGAGTTCTCGTGGAGGACCCCGAGCGTCTGGACCTTTGACCTGAACCCGAGCGCGCCCGGCTACCCCATCATCTTCATGTCGGTCGAGTACGGCGCCCGCGAGGTCCGCTGGGACATGTTCGAGTCGGGCTGGACCGAGGACCGCTGGAGCTACCCGCCCGTCGTCGGGGAGAACGGCTACGTCGGCTCGGCGACCTCGTACGACGCCACCTACCTCGGCAGCGTCTTCAACCCCGCGACCATGCGCGTGAACGACACGTTCCCCTTCCCCATCCAGGGCGTCGTGCGCAACAGCGGCAACATCGGCCAGTACCACTTCTGGTGGCTCGGCGCAATGGCCAACGGCTCCCAGATCACGTCTGGAAAGTACAAGTGAGTTGTCTCGTCTATATCTGCGTGAATTCTGCTGCTCTTTAGACGCACAAGCTGACTACTGTCTCCGCTTCGCTCCTCAGGATGCGGTTCGCTGCTCTCCGTCCTTTCGTTGACCCCAAGGCTTCGGAGAGTTGGTCGGTCTGGGATCTGCCAGAGATAATCATCAACAGGGCGGCCCCGGTCGTAAGCAACAGGACTCAGTCCTAGTGTATCACATCGAAAGTAATGTTTATATATAGTTTACGATGTAGTATAATGTCCGTATCAGAGTGTTCGACGCGCTGCCCTACCGTACCGACTGAATGTATTGCTCTCTGTCGCACCTTCTCCACTAATTCTTGCGCCATATTGTTGTAAGAATATGATGTCTTCGTTCACAGCACAGAGGCCTTACTGTCTGGGGGCGTCGCCTGCTCGGGGCACCGTCATAGTGCACCATCAGGGTAGAAGCCGCTGCCCGACTCCATTTTGTGACAGAGTTTGCGATCGCTGCGGAACCAGGAAATGGATGATGGTAGCGACGAGGGCGCTTGAGCCGACGATTGCCGCGAAGAGAAGTAGGATCCGTAATGCCGCCTCCATTGTTGCTCGATGTTCGATGTGGCAAGCTCGCTCTGGGATAGAAAAGGAACAAGGCCGAGTGTGTGCGTCCATTCGCATCTGGGTATTCACCGGATGGTATGCCTGTAGCCGCCCGTAGATGGAGCAGAACAGCAGGCAGGAAGTAGGTGTTTGGGCATCCAGATATATACAATGGCCGGCCTGAAGGTTTCACATGCATTCCGTGTCGCCGAATCGATGTGCATGTCGAGTATCCCGGGTGCGACTGTCACGAAATTCACATCTGCTGTGGCCCGTAAGGGGTCGCTGGGCGCGGGTAAGCTGGGGGAGTGGTCAGGCGGCTTGGTGCTTCACAAGGGGCCATCTTGGTATGCTTGTGCGACCTTGCGAGTGTCGTCTTCCGACGGGTGCGACCTTTGTCAACCGTTCGCCGCGCCACATGTGGTGGTAACTACGCGGGTCGGGTGACGCTTGTGGAATCATGGCAGGAATATGACCGCAAGACAGAGGAAAGGGGAATCGGCCTGGTAAGATGTGCTGTACTCAAGTGAACTCTCCTCGGAACAAGAGCCTAAAAGTGCGGCAGTTGACATTATATGCTCTGTGAGTATCCAGCCGTGTTCCAATACACTGACGAACCCATTTCCGATACATCAATATGTGTACAGCCAGCATCCTCACAAAGAAAACCCCATGGCGCGGCCCCAACCCACCTTGATACGCCGCATCTCCGGCGCGCTCGCTTATGGCCTGGTGATCAGGTCGCGTGCAAGGAGTAAGGGGGCGGGGCATCATCCAGCTCGGCCACCTGCAAGTCCTGGGAAAACACCCGGCGCTGCAGATCCCGCCCCTGAATGGCCTCATCTCCTCCGAGACGGTGGATGGCTTCCCAGGCAGTCTTGACACCAACGGCACTGCCACTAGCCCAGAGCGGAGTGGGCTCCCGTCCCGAACCAAACGAAGAGCACTTAGAAGCAGCAGCTGTGGCGTCGGCTTGCGTGCCTTGACCGGGGCCATGCTCATCGATGTAGGTCTTGTCGTCGGCAAGGTCGTCCCACTGGAGGGTGTCTAGCTCCCACCTGCCGCCACCGCCCAGCTCCAGTTCGTGGAGCTTCTGCGCGAACAGAGAGTCTTCCTTCTCTTGATGGATAGTGCCCGTAAACCGGTGTCGGCGGTTTGGTGTCTTGTCTAGATGATCTTCACGTTCACGCCCAGAGATGGGTTCGTATCTGGAGGTGGTGTAATGGGATGGGGCGGGTGCCCCAAGTTCTACGGAGCTGGGGCGCTCATTCTCGGACGGGGGCTGATGGAGATTAGGGTCGAACCGGACCCGCGCTTCTCTCACGCCATGGCGACGCTGGTCCGACGGCGGCTCTTTGTGATAACCAGATACACTCTGGCCGTTGCTGTGAACTCGGATGTCGACACGACATGTGTGCGAACACGCCACCCCATCAGCAGATCGGAGGCGGTCTTGTCAGCGGTGTTCTGGCAAAAGCGGCAGGTGGGAGGAGACGAGACATCAGCCCAGGGCTCGGGCGCGTACCTTTCTCCACGCTCTGTGCCGGCAGCACTCGACATCCCGTGCTGCGCTGTATCCAAAATCGGCAGCGGGCGAGCACGGGAGGTGCTTGCTTCGGTCAGCTCCTCTCGCGACTGGTACCGACGCTGGCGTCGCTCTATGACATAGTCTCTCTCGCGCCCGGGCCGGACACAATACTGGACGTGGGTCTTTCCTGCCACCGTGATCTTCTTCCGCTCCAGTCTCGGCTCGTCCGGGTCTGCCCTCAGGACGTGGGAGCTGAAACGTGCGCGAAGACTGGAGGCCATCATGTGCAGAGCAAAGAGCTTGTGGAGTGCCTAGGCGGGCAAGTCTGGGCTTGGAGAGGCATCTTCGGGGAGGGTGATGGTGCTATTACTTGTATCATGGCGATGGTGATGGGTCGTCAGGCTTGGCATGGCTCCAGGAAAGCGTGGAATGCCGCTGGTTAGCCCTCCCCATCAATTTAATCCCCAGCATGCGAACGTGCCTCCAGGTAGGTCCGGCCAGGAATTCAGCACCAAGAATTGAGGGACCAAGCAATGCTAACATCACCCCGCGCAAGCCGTTGGACCTGGCCAGCCGTTTTCGGCACCTCACTGTTTTGCGGTATGGATATACACGGTAGATGCCTCATAGTGAGCGAAATCGAGTTTGCCGGTGCTTTTGGGTCTGGATTGTTGATCGAGGTTGTTTGTTCACCGTGTACGCGATTGGCCGCGTTCAGTCAACTCCCTGTGCCCCTAGTGCCCCCAAGAAGAAAAAAAGTCCCAGGCCACCAAGCCCCAGCCGCTGCAGGCCCCTAGCCCCGGTTGCAAACGTGCACCGAGAACAAAGAGAAGCACTACCGACACCCCGCAAACGATCACAGGCTTCACGGCCGCCTAGTGACTATACATGCTCACGTCGACTGAGGGTACAACGGCTATGCTATCGAGGCCTGGAGCGTGGATTGCCGTGCTGGGTCAGGAGGATGCAGGTATGATGCAACTGGAGGGCGATGCATGCTCGGTGAGATCGAACCCAAGGTTTCGCAGTCTGAGCAGACTCGAACCATTTTTCTGCCTGCTGAGTCCGAGGACCAGGAAGCTGAGGTGACACACGCAGCCAGCCACGCTGGGCCGGAGCGGGAGAGCAGCAGAAGGGAGGCACTGTGTGTGCTAGTGTGCCCTCGCGCAGCGACTACACTCGCAGGCGACCGGGGCCTGGCGGGTACCAATTCGGGGCACCACAGACATTCTACCGTGCTCCCATGTCGCCCCCGCCATAACCGCAGCCAGGAGACTATCACGCTTCCACGCACCAAAGCTACTACAATCCTCCCATGCGGCCCCTACCACCACAGGAGCTGGAGCCGTCGGAAGCAGGCTGAGGTGACGGCCAAATTGAAGTCGCGGTCAAGACCAAGATCAATGGGAAGAAGACAAAACGGGGACTACCGAAGTGTTTCCCTTCCAAGGCGTAATCCTCAAATCTTGCTTCGGGTTTGCGAGGTGTGCTACGGCTACGGGGCAATCGGATCTTTCGGGGAAAATGCCAAATTTCACGAGCAACCCATACCGCAGACTACCGTGATCCCGTGGAGCAAAATTCGGTAAAATCTATCAGGCCAAACCTGTGAGCAACACCACGATTGCTTGCTCGTGGCTTTGGGTCGGATTCCCCATATCAGCCATGCTGCTTGCACGCACAGCAAACGTCCCCGGTTTTTGACGGAATACTCTTATTGCTATTCTCGCCAAAGGATGTGACAGAGATTACACTATATAATTCATGACCAGAAAAAAGAATTACCGCTTTCCCTTCATTAGCTTGTCCCCTGGCTGACCCAGATTTCTGTCATATTATTGCACAGTGGCTAAATACTCAGAGGAGATTCATGGCTCTTGCGTGGCCTTGCTAGCAAGCCCCCACGTCATTTCAAGTTATATCAGCCCCATGGACCCATGGGAGACTAGAATGACTGTGTATTGCTCGCCAGTCGTAACAAATACATATTTGAAGATACATATTTGAAGACGGAGCCGCATCTAAAGTTCATACATGCCAACCTCCTACAAAAACTTCCCCATGTGCCCGCTGTGCTTGAGCCTCTTTTATGATATTAAGGCGTAGGACTCGATGGCACCAGTTCCATGCTTTTTCTCGCCCTGAGTTTCAGATTTTGCAACAGGGTGCCACATCGTATACACAAGGTGTGCTTCGATGGGCAGAGCATTTATCTCTCAAATAATCAAAGATCCTTCTTTAAAGTAAGCAGTCCAGCTAACCATGTGCGAAACCTCTGGTACCCTCATTTACTGCCACTCTAAGCTAGTTAAACGGGGTTCTAGAGATCAAAGTACTTCCCCGAGGTGGTGCTGAGTGACCTACGTCATACCACAACACCAATTGGTATCCGTGCACTTGATTTGCTATGCCACAAAATATCGACAGTCATATAATTCTTCCCTTTCAGGTCCTGCAAGACTTTGCTTTGCTTTGTGCATCCACGCAACATCACAGCCAAAACCCAAGAAAACTACCACTACACCCAACCTTTCAATGTTTAAAACTCCAAACCTTTAGCAGAAGACAAGCCACCTTTATCTTCGTTTACCTGGGACGAAGCTCAAAGGCCTGCCTAGCACTTGCGCTACCTTTTTGCTAGCACTTCAATCAATCGAACAACCACGTCACCAGATCAGCATATAAAGCAACCCTTCATCCTAGAAAACCACCAAGGTACGCCCCCCTCCTTCCCCTCAAGTCTCTCTCAGACGATTTGCATCTACTGGGTGTCTTGGATCACCGCTCTGCGCCCGTTCATTTCCTGTTACCAACGAGGAACTTTTATCCAGCAGTCCCTTAGGTCTACTTGACTTCCGTTCTGACCCCAAAATTCGCCCTAGAAAAGATGCCTGCTCAACCGTCGCTCACAAGCACGACTAAGATACAGTTCATCGCATCCACGGTCTCCAGCATCGTCAAGACCGGCATCTTCGAGGAGATGGGGCATGACCCGTCAAACTTTGCCGCCATGTGCGCGGCTCAGGCTTCGCAACCGGTGCTGCGGCTCGAGGCTCAGCTTCTGGTGGAGCTCGCCAGGCTGAACGGAGACGCAACGGCGATGACTGAAATCATCGACGCCGAGATGGAGGCTGCTCTTGGAGCATCTGGGGTTCCCGCCGACGTGGCGGACAACATTTGGGCGGAAAACTGGGAACGGGTGCATGCAATGGTCTTTGGCTTTTTCACGGACCCTTGAAAATGTGTTTGAGGTTGGCCCATGCACCGGCCCTGCATCAGTGCGGATCCAGGCGCGAGCGCTGCCCTCCTTCCTAGATCATAACAACCCACAATCAAGTCTTTCCCCCGTCTTCTGGGCGGCCCTCTGAGCCGGCCCTACTTCCCACAGAATGTAAGGACGCCTGTTGGATCATATCAATGCACGAGTATCCGACAGTGGCCTGTCATGTAGCCTAGGCCTGTATATACGGACCGGCCGGAGGCCGGCCCTTGGCAGATACATCTCCTTCCTTCCCATGCAAAAAAGGCCCGATTCACACACAAAAGTCGGCATCGCATCACTCCGGAGTTGAGCCCCTTTTGGGCTGTATATGATACCTACTAACAACGTCGTTCTTACACGAGATTGCTCACGTATAGAGCAGACTCGCGGAGATATAGACGGGCCCGGCTTCCTGGCTATCTCTTAATACGTGTGTGCGTGGCGCTGAGCTCATCTCCACGCTGTTAGTTCCTTGCGGGTTGCTTGGCGCGCTCCAGTCGCATGCGAATCTCACAGTTGCTGAGTAAAGCGCTTGAACTGGTGGATGCGTATAACGTTATGTCTCCCCCGCACTGCACGTGGCTCTGGGCCATGATTGGCCCGCTCGGGTGACTGCTTTGTCAACACCGCGGTTCATCGCTCCACATCGCCAACCTTGTCCAGACCGGTGCCCAAGATATAAAGCACCAAACTCGCCATGGTGAAGGCTCAGTTCGCCTTTAGAACATTCCTTGGAATTGGAAATCACACCTTTTGGCACTTTACCAGGACCAATCCGCATCAAAACCAAAGAAGAAAGCGTATCATCCCTCGTCCGTCTCATCAAACACCCGCCTGGCAACCATGGCTTCCCCCCCGATCAAAGTCATCGTCTTTGGTGCCACTGGCAATGTTGGTAGCCAAATCATCGACGGTCTACTCAAATCAGCAACCAACTTTGTGAGTGCCATGCGTTACGGACATATGAGACAGGCGTGCGTATCTATCACCCACGCTGACCTGCTCGGTTCGACTCCAACAGGACATCACCGCCATCAGCCGGCCGGCCTCACTGGATAAGCCGGCAAATGAGGAGTACAGGAAGAAAGGCATCAAGGTGGTAGGCGCCAGTATGACAGACTCTCATGACAGGCTCGGGGAGATACTTCTCGGTGCCGATGCGGTCATCACGCCAATGTTCCCTACGGAACTCGATCAGCAGAAACGTATCATCGATGTCTGCAAGGAGGTTGGGGTCAAGCGCTACATCCCAAGCAACTTCATGCCCGCTATGCCCCCTGTTGGTGTGATGGGTATACGTGACAAGGCAAGTGGTGACAACAAGGAGGCGTGCGGGTATTCCCGTACAAGGAAACCAGGCCTGGATCGTATTGAGCACGCGATCTAACAACGCGCCTCTTCTGGCGTCTCAACTGCCGACAGAAGGAGGAGATCATCTGCTACGCCAAGCTCCGCATGGTTCCCTATACCATCGTCGACATGGCGTTCTGGTTCGAGCTGTTGCCCTATAAAACGCCTTCAGGTAAGGTCGACTACGCCTTACCCCCAGGGCTGGATTCCCGCATTGATGGCAATGGCAACGTCCCAACCGCCTACACGTTCTTCAATTCTCTTGGTCCTGCCGTGGCCAAGATCATTGCGGATCCCCGCACCATCAACAAATACGTGTATGTCTACGACGACGTCCTCACGCAAAATCAGGCCGTCGACGTCCTCGAGGAGCTTAGCGGCGAGAAGGTGGAGAGGGTCTACGTGAGTTTCTGTCAATGTCACCGCAACGGCCGTGAAGCCGGTATAGCTCTAGATCAAAGGCCACTGACCAAGGGATGAGTGACTATCACAGCGCCCCGGAGAGGATATCCGGAGCTCCATTTCCGCCACGAGGGCCAAGATCGCTCAAACCCCCGAGGACACAGGTGCCTTCATCAGCTTGACCATGGAAGAGTACTCCTACTCTCTCAAGGTCCGCGGCGACGGCACGCCAGAGTGGGCCGACTACCTCGGCTACCTCGACATCTTCAAGCTCTACCCCGATCTCAAGAAGCGTACTCTGCGGGACTTCTACCAGGGAGTGCTCGATGGTACGCACAAAGGGCCTTTCAACTAGGTTCCGAAGCACTCGGGGCTTGGCTTCCTGTCTGTAAATGCTTGATACCGGCCTTGTGTCGCTATGTAGCAGCAGTAGCAGCAGTAGCATCCGTGTTTATCGAAAGAAAGTGTGAAAATGCGAACCCCTCTTTGTTCCGTGCGTACCTGTCTTTGTGTGCCAGGCCTTTCCGTTTTCGCTGCGTGCATCTGCCGCTCTTTGTGCAGTATGGGCGAGGAATGCGGGCTCCGAGCACGGAAAACCGAGCGCCTTGCCTCCCGCTTTGTCCTCCTAATTTTCCCCTGGCGCGGCAGTCCAAACCTCCCAGCGACCATTTATGCTGAGGTGCCCGCCTTCTCCCCTATGATCCAAAAATGAATGGCCAAAAACTCAAAGCCTGGTCGACGAAAACCCATCAACAATGGACTATCTAGAAGTCGCTTTACGCAACGACTCCAGGTGGAAGGGCGTCGGCAGCCTCCACACCCACCGCCGCCGTTTCATGGTACTCCCCTGGGACATTGCGGTAAGGCAAGCTTGGTACCTCCACCGATCCAAACAAATCCATCGAAGCAGCAGGACTGCGTCTCCCGCATACGGACCGCCATCGCCGAGCTTTACCAATAGCTGGCTTGACGGCCCTTTGCCCGACGGGCTTTTGTCCCCTCAGTTAGGGCCAAAGGAAGATACTATTGACATTCGCAAGACTCCGCGCAGTCAACACGCTCGACGTACCCTATCCCCCATCGGGAAGCAGCCGCGGCTTGCCAAGAAGGCGCATGAGCTTCATCCGCGCATACCTTCACGGAACGTCACGAAGACACAGGGTCAGGGAGAGGTTGTCTGGATACCCGCTGCCACGAGCCCCCCTGCCCGGAGACCCGAGTCCCCGAGTTCCGGCGCCTCAGAGAATCAGCAGCAAATCGACTTGCACCCCGTTTCCCCCGAGGATGAAGAAGATGTTGCCACAAGCCCCGCCGGCTCTGAGGACGGACAGGGCATCACCACAAAGACCGGCGTCCTAGAGAAGGAACAAGAACCTTCCCTGGGTCCTGTTACTCCCGAGATTCAAGAAGATACAGCCTCAAGCCCAGATGTCTTGGGACAACAAGACGTCGGCTCGAGTCTCACCGGGTCAGATCATACGATACACCACACGCCCGATCTTGGGCAGATCCCTCTATCATTCGAGTTCGAGGAATCCTTTTTAGCGACGACCGGTGCTGTTCCTGGTATACCAAGCGACGCCGAGCCCGAGCCTAGTAACCCAACGGAGAGTGCCGCACAGAAGCCAGCAGATTCTCCCATCAAGGGGCGGCGGACCGAGGAAGACGAGATGTCGGTAATCCTTCCCCCCAAGAAGAGGAAGAATCTCGCATCCCAGGATCCGCATGTCTTCTTTCTGAAGGCCGACAGATGGCAATGTAAGAATGCCAAAAAAGAGCCACCCAAGGGAAGGAGCATCAGAGCACCAGGCCCACGCCGGACCCCAGCTGCTGGCGTGCCAAAAGTCCGGGTACCCACGCGCCGTGGCCAGGGTGAAACGACAGCGCCTGTCGGCCAACCCAAGGAGATTTATCCTCCATTGGCCGAGCACTACATACGAGAGAGGCGGCTGGCTGCCCGCGAGTCTCGGGCACAGGCAACGGAGGATATGACACGATATGAGAGGGCAAAGGAGGGCGGTGTTCTGGTCAAAATCGTCCGCCGACCATTTATACCCATTCGGCGGAATGCATGGAGCATCCTGCCAGGAAAGATACTTCAGTGATATCCTGTTGAGAGCAAGAAGGTAATCACAGAAACAAGGGGAGTAGGCTGGATGGCAGATGAGCCGTAGGACCAGAACACTTCTGGGCTTCTCCATCCCCTGAACTCGAGGCTTCTATACAAGATATCTTTGACTTTCGGACGAGAAGTCGCATGTGGGATCAGCCATTTTAATATGAGAATAACATAAATACGGACATGTAGAGAACGAAATGCTTGATATCGCCGAATTACTCTGCCCAGAGGCTGGATATCACATTGATCACAGGGGGGGCAAGGGAGCCGCTGCTAGAATGGCATTCGATTTATGGAGTGGAAGCATGAATAGCCAGGAGCATGCCTTCGTCATTTTCATATAAATGAAGAGGTTGTATACAAATCCCTGGGTCCTCCAAGATGTCTGCCGGTGATTTCCTTGCAATATTCCCAGCCATCTCGGCCTGCGACTGCATCCCTGGCTGTGCGGGCCAGTGGTTGCTCTGCAGGGCGGGGGCGGTGACGTATGCCTCTCTTCATGCCGGAAAGCATGCCATATCAAGACTAATGCCTGCCAGGCACCTTGGGCACGGCATAACCATTGAGCAAGTGGGGTACCCTGAGGCGGCCTCCAGAAGCCCATGGAACCGCGTCCTGAGCAGTTCCCTGCGCGTTGCCCTGGGGAAGTCACGTCACGCATTGGAACAACTGATACTCCTGTGTCTGGGCCACTTAGAGGGAGTCTGAACACGCACCTGACCTCAAACGCGTTGCGGCTGGACCCACCTTCCTCCTTTTGCTTGTCTTTTAGCCGTGCCCTCCTCCTCTCGGTTCCCGTTCCTCCAAAACACCAACCTCAAAAACCATATCAGCCCTCATCTCCCCTCTCGTCACCACCCACCACGCAACCCATCTTCTATCTTTTGCAAGGCCAAGCACCCAAACGCAAGCGTCAGCAGACGGCCAGCTCAGCAGCATTCTTTCGGCAATACACCACCTTGGTGTACCGCAACCAGCGTAGCCTCCTGGGCCGTCACACATCTTCCTCAAGGTATGGCAAAGTAGTCTGCGGAGCCAGACAGCACAACCACATATCACAAGAACGACACAAGACAGACATACTGATCTCGGGGCACGCAGGGTGTCTTGTTCACAGCAGCCGCGAGAAAAGCCCTTCCCAAGACTCCGGTGGGCGAGACCTGTCCGGCCAGACCAGGAGGACACTCGGCCGAGCGAGCAACGGCAGGCCTGGGACTGGCAACGCTAGGGCCAGCTTTGCACGGCAGGAAAGTGCCAACCAGCAACACAGAGCCCCACATGCACAGGTGAATATCAAAATAAAAATCTGCAGTCAAAAATCCACCACCACAACTTTTCTCCCACCACTCCAACTTCCACCTTCAACTTTCCACACCACCATCAACATCAACAACAACAACAACAACAACAGCCGCGCATCACCCCATTCCATTACAGCCTGTCCATCACGCGCATGCGGATTCTAACTCTATCAAGCAACAGATCATCTTGGTCAAGGCCCATTCCAAGCCTGATGCTCTTCGCTCGCGGCGACATCCGCCATCCACGCCAGCTCCAGCGGTGCAACTTCACCCGTCATCAAATCTTTCCATCAACCACGCGTCCATCTCAAGAGTCATTTCCTCTTCCACCACAGAGGAATAGACAGACTGGAGGCCAGACCTCGTCGTCGCCCCATCATCATCAGAGGTATATCACCAGCCAAGGTGCCCTTCTCCAATCACCACAGTCGCTGGCCCTTTCATCTTCACTTTGCTAACCCACTCCATCACAGTACAAGCGTACTCCAACAGCACGCTCGGTCGGCATGTCAATGTCCGACTACGCTTCATCGTCGTTGGTGCCTGCCATGAGCAACATCAACGCAACGGCATATCAGACAGCCAGCGTCACAGTATCAAGTATAATCTTCTGGAATTTTTTGTCATCAAGTTTGAACATTTGCTAACCTTTTTATCTAGGATCAATCACAAGACCTCTTGCTGAAGGCCACACATCACAAGTGTGATGGGTCAACTTTAAAGGCATCGGCAGACACGGTCATTGCCCGCCGCCCAGAGTTGGGCCGCTCGCTTCGTGTCCGAGTCTTGCCTTTCGCAACTCGAACCGCAGGTTAGTACGATGCCACTGCCAGGATGGCTTCCAGGCTTTTCTCTTTTTGTCTTCAACTTCCACCGCCTCCATTCCACCCTCTGTCTTACACACCCATCCTCGCCACCGTCTCGCTCTTGATCTCTGGGCGCTGCCACATGCTCTCCAAGATACCTCGCGCACTTGGGAAGAAACCAGGCAGCGCGGAGTAAGCAGATTAGCGCCCTTATCCGGCCTCCCCTCGAAAGTCAGCGAGGGTGCGGAGCACATTCCCTCGTCCCCGACATGGACGACGGGCGCTACCACGTCCTTTTCTTGGCAGACCTGTGCCTTGGAGAGCGACAAAAAAGCGCAGATCAACCGCCACGCTGCCTACATGATCTCCCGGACCTCTTCGCGGTCCGTGGCAAATTAACCGGGCAGCGAACATCAACCGATACTCTGGGGAAGCCGTCCAACGTGGATCTAGAGTCCGGCTCAGCAGTGCTGAGAACATCACCCCCCATTTCCGCCTTGGTGAGGCGGAGTACTCCTAGGCGCTACCACGTCCTTTTCTTGGCCAGCCCATGCCTTGGAGAGCGATGAGGAAAGCGCAGAGCAACTGACTGTCCATGAGCTTGAAGGTCGAGCCTCCGGGCGTGGCTTGGAGTATAACCAGACAGTCGACATTAACCGACACCCTGGGGAAGCCGTCAAACGCGGATCCAGGGCCCGGCTTAGCATTGCTAAGAACATTCCACCCCCGTCCTGGATATGGGACAAGGGCGCTACCACTTCCTTTTCTTGGCCGGCCCGTGCCTTGGAGAGCGATAAGGAAAGCGCAGAGCAACTGACTGTCCATGAACTTCAAGGTCGAGCCTCCGGGCGTGGCTTGGAGTATAACCTGACAGTCGACATCAACCGACACCCTAGGAAGCCGTCAAACGCGGATCAGGGCCCGGCTCAGCATCAACCACAACCCCTCATGGGATCGGAGTGGGTGGTGCTGAGAACATTCCTCCCCCGTCCTGGACATGGGACAGAAGCGCTACCACTTCCTTTTCTTGGCCGGTCCGTGCCTTGGAAAGCGATAAGGAAAGCGCAGAGCAACTGACTGTCCATGAACTTCAAGGTCGAGCCTCCGGGCGTGGCTTGGAGTATAACCAGACAGTCAACATCAACCGACTCTCTGGGGAAGCCGTCAAACGTGGATCCAGGGCCCGGCTCGGCATCGCCTCTCGACCCTCCTATGGAGAGTCAACAGAGAGAGATGTGTCGAGAACACCCCCATCACGTCCGCCTTAGTGAGGCGGACTCGCAGGCGCTGCCACGTCCTCTTCCTGGCCAGCCCGTGCCTTGGAGAGCGACAAAGAAGCGCAAATAAACGCGTTGCCATGACTCCTCAAGCCTGTTGAGAGGGCTTGGGGGAAACCAGGCATCGCGATATCAACCGACACTCTGAGGACGCCGTCAAACGCGGATCCAGGGCCCGGCTCGGCATCAACCACGACCCCTCATGGGGTTGGAGTGGGTGATGCTGAGAACATTCCTCCACTTTTGCAGAGTGGAATCTCAACGCGCTGCGACATGCTCTCCTTAGCCGGCCCCATGGCCTTGGAGAGAAACCAGCAGGCGCAGATCAACTGACACCTCGCGCTCAGGCGCTGCCACATGCTCTTCGGGTCGCTCCTCCATGGCCTTGAAGAGAAACCAGACAGCGTATATTCAATACCCAGTCGGCTGTCCCATGCTCTTTTTGGCCTCTCCATGGCCTCAAGGAGAAACCAGACAGCCTAGATCAACTGACTGCCACATGATCTTCAACGTCGCGCCTCCATGGCGTTGAAGACAGACCAGGCAGCCGACATCAACCGGCCCTAGCGAAGCCGTTAAACGCGGACCCAGGCTCCCGGCTCGGCGCCAGCGTCTGTCCTCCCATAGAGAGACAGAAGGGCTGTTGAGAGCATTCCTCGCTGGGATCCCCTTCCTTTTGTATGAGGACATACGCGCTGGCGATTGCCTTCCTTGCCCTTTCAATGGCTTAGGAAGGAGCTCAGCGGCGCAACATCAAATAGAAGCCTCGAGGCCGCCCAAGGCGGATCCCTCGAGGCTCGCGAACGTTTACATGCCGATTTTTTTCCTTCCATGAGGACTTTCGGATACCCAGGCGCTCAACATCCCACACCACCCTTCATTCACCTTCCCGTTTGGCATACCCGCTCGCAGGTACTACTGCTAACACCAGTCTCACCTCTAGGAAGCCAGTCGGCACAAGACCAGCCGACCCCGCGATGGCCGGCGACCGAGAACGGCGACCGAAGCCGGCGCACGCGACGCCGAGGACGGACGGCAAGGCTCCCGCAAGCGCAACTAAAGATCAGTCTGCAGCGCAAGGGCGCTCAGACGACGGCTCGGCTACGAGAGCGAGGTCTGCGGACCCATGGAGAGGGACAAGCACCCGATCCAGTTGCGTTCGCTATGGGTTTGGTCTGGGTGATCGAATCCAACTCGCCCGAGGCTTAATTCAGCGCAAGATCAAACCCCCCTCCCCTCCCATTCAGTCCCTTCCCTTCCCTTTCTTCCCAGTGGACGAACCACGAGTTCCACGAGCCGTCTTCCGAACCCAGGGAAGCTCGGGGTGGAACGAGTGCACATGAAATCCTCGAGGCCAATATAGTGTATTGGCCTCCGCTGCGTTCGTCCTGAATAGCCTCCTGGAGAAGATCGTTCCTTCGAGGCTATATTCGGCGCAAGATCAAGCCACCATCCTAGTGCCAATGGCGCTGGGATGCGCCCTCCTACCGTTATCCTCGCCGCCATCTTTCGACTTCTGGAAGAGCGGACGCGAGGGAGAGTACATCCTTCGTTCCGTGGTTTGTTCGCCACGTAATATTTCATCAGCCCATCTGCGTCGCATCGATCCACTTGGCTACTCCCGTGCCTTGGAGGAAGAACAGGCACGCTATATCAAGAATGCAGTTGCAGGTCCAGTTCCCCAAGTCCCGGATCTGTGGTGCAGCTCGACGAGGGCAAAGCGGAGTCTTCCTGTTAGTGGAAGTTCGCCGAAAGGCAGTCGAGGAACATTTTTCAACGCTAGCCATTGCTGGCAATCTTTTCGTGCGGCTCGCATGGTGTCTGGGGATGCGCGGTGCCAGGGCGAATCGAGGAATTGTACCTTTGCGTTTGGAGGATGGAGGAGGAGCAGCGAGCTAGCAAGAATGGTAATTCAGGTTGGTACATGTCAGCGCGACGGGCGGAGAGACGCATATTTCTAAACGAAGGTTACCGCCGGGTTTAATTTAACACTCACTGCATCTGAGTCTGCTCGTACTTTATTCCCTTTGCCTCCAGCACAAAACTACGTACGGTCTTTGAGGTTTGCCGTAGCTGCCGGGACGCGTGGCGTTATGTCAATTGCCCAACCTCGCGGGCCTTCGGGGTCTCTCGTTCACCCTCGCCGAGGCGGGCGTATTTTGTATAGCGCCAAGCTTTATATGATAGCCATCTTTGCGTAAATGGCAGAACAGCCCACAGGCTCACCTTATTCCGGGACAAACGCATTTATACTGACCGCCGGGGGACGGTCCATGCCAACTACAGGTGTCTGGTGGCCGTGGAAGGACCATGGCGCGTCTCACTATCCGTCGTGGTGCCACGCAATACCGGACGTCACATAGGTCCCACGCATCTCATCGTATCGAACAACCCAGCCACAAGCACTTCCGGGTGGCTCTTTGGTCTTGGTTGCGTGCGGGAGACGGCAGGCTAGGTTGGGGGAAAACCGGGCTACGGTATAAGAAAGAGAGAGTCTCCAAGACACGGGTTACGAGAAGGCAGGTCGGGAGCGAGCCGGACTACAAGAACCTACTGCCTCCAATCATGCAGAGAATTGCATACTGCATGGCTTGGCCCGCGGGACTCTCGGGGTCAAGGGTGCAAAGCACCAGGACGGTCTGGGTTCCATCATCGTGTTTAAATGTTTCCACTACCGACGTGAGCTAGGAGGGCTCCTCTACACCCTCCACTACGCTCCACAGACGTCACTGTAACGGCGACCCTCATCTCCACGGTACCAGACAGGAGACGGCAGCAGGGAGTGTCACCATATTTATGCAGCCGTCACAGCGTCGACAAGCTGTGCGATGATGGCTACCGAGGACAGGAGTGGCGTACAACATCACTCCACCGGCACCGAGAACGTGTCTGAGATGTGGTGCAAATGCGCGGTCAAGATGATCGCTATGTGAATCTTGTAGGGGTTCCTTCGAGATCTTTACGAGGCACGCACGCCCACAGCAAAATAAAAGGCAGTCCGCGCTCCATTCACTGTGGCGGCTAGACTGCCGTTTAATTTGTCTTAGGCGTGGCATAGTCGTAGACTCCTCGCTGACCTGCGTGTTCGAATAGAGGACATCTCTGATAACGGCCGTTTCTCCTAAGGGCAAACCCGAAGGATGTCTTCATAGGACTCGGCTGACGACTAGGGGTTTCAACGGCCAAGCATTGGCAGCTGATAAGAAGAGGCCCAGCACGCGCAGAGAACATTCCAAGACCAGCCGTTGTGTCCAAGAGCTTCCAGAAGACGGGTAGACGGCATGTGATGTGCATGCGGCCCTGTTTTATGTTTTTATGGTAGCGGATCGGCATAGAATGGCTGCCGTATGGTTGCGTTGCATGGGGATCTTGTACATGGAAAGAAGCACTTGTGCCAGTCGGGGCTGTTGCTAGGCAGCGGCCTAGGTGGGAGGAGGGGTGAAGGCGTCGAGAGGGCCAGGATCCATCGTGTGGAGAGAAACAAGTGGATAGGTCTCGGTTATTAGCGGGCGTGGTTATCGTTCGTGGTCGAGACTTGGGCTGTGTGGTTTTCTGTTTGTCATTGAATCTCGCGACGTGAAAGTTGCCCGTGGGGAAACGAACCGATCTCAACTCTTGCAGAATTTGCCTTCATCTTTGCGCTGTGGAGGAGCAGTTTTGTCGTAACGAACCGAGTGAAAAGCGGTTCCCTGGTGGAGCCCACGAGGTCTGGAGCAGACAATTTCAGGGCCGACGGAATCTCGCACGGAATCGAGTGCGGCTTTTCCTACGCGTCGACGGCCAAGTGCGAGCGTTGCCGCAACGTAAATCTTACGAGACTGGATGGCAGGAGCCCTGCTGGGAAAGGGATGTAAGGCGGGGTGAGTGAAGGTGGGATCATTGTCGATGGCAGCTGGTGACGACAGGGAGGCCTGGGCGGCACAGCTGGAAATTCTCCGTGCTGCGTTTTTAGGTACCGTGGCAAGCGGAACAGGCGGCCTCGGGACGAACAGCACGCGACATCAGATGGGCGAGTGCTGTAAAGAGCCTGCAAGTCGGGGAAGGGGCAGCCACCGCCTCGAGCCTGCACGAGGAGAGCCTCGTCGCCTTTGTTGGTCGAGTCCCACCGAAGCCAAGCCAAATCTGGACACCGAACGAGATGAGGGCGGGGAAAAAAAGAGAAGCAAAAAAACGACATCCCCACTGGCCCAAACAGAACCAAGCCACCAAGACACCAAGACGCGAAAGTGCGGGGCTTCCCCAATGACGGGTGAGGAAGAAGCTCCTATCGCGGCTACCAAGCCGCCCTAATCGACGCGCCGAGAAAATGACGAGATGATAAGTGTGAGCGGGCGAGGCACAGCAGCAGGCATTGAAAAGCAATAAGCAGAAGAGGACGACGGGCCAACGACCAAACAGCCAACGCGCCACCACCCAATGGCAGACCAGCTCATCAAAAACCCTAGGCTTGGCCAGGGCCTTGGTAATGGGGAGACAAGACCAGCCAAGAAGCCAGTCAGGCGGCCAGGAAAGGCCGGGCGGGTCTCTAAGTGGTCCGCGACCTCGACACCAAGGCTCGGCGTGCCCCGCCCCACTCCGCTGCCCAGCGGCGCCGAGCCGCTCGGCGTCCACAAAAGGTGCCGCCGGATCCGGGCTGTTATATATCGTTTCTGGCTTGTTTTGGGGGACTGCCCCCTTTTTTTCCCGCCTGCCCGTTGTCTGCCCACCATCACCACCTTCTCCCGTCGGCTGACCACTCTTGTTCACTTGGCGGCTGTCCGGGCTGGCTATTGCTGGTTCCTTCGTCTTCTGCCTGCCCTTTCCAGGCACAAGCCCCGGAATCATGACGAGGGTGGCTGGCTTTCTAAAAGTCTGGGCGCCAATGCTTCATTCGCAACGTTCCTATCCCACCCGCCACCGAAGCATGCCATCGCTCCCGTTGCTCTCTGGCCCTCCCCAGATGCACCAACAGGCCGGCCGAGGCAGCGTCTCTCGCCCAGCCTTCTCTCTGGAAATTATCCCGGGTAGAACCACGTCTGTTCGAGACCCCGTCCGGGTCCCCCAATGTTCCACTTGTGCTGCTCGTCCACGCCATGCGTTCCCGCCGCGCCCGGGCCCGTACGTCTGGGAAACCCACAAAGGGATGGACGGCCGGCCGCGCGTGATTTGCTTGGATGTTTACCCCATCCGGCCACCGACCTTCCTAACCTGACAAGACATTGCCAGCCCGGCCCTCCCTCCCAAGACTTTTTTCTCGACTCCCACAGGCCTCAGCTATCTGTGGGGTTGCTACCCTTGCTATTGGTAGCAACATGCGCCCGTCAACCCTGCTTTCTGCTGCTGCTGGGGGGTCTCCCGCCAGCCCGGCGCGCCCGCAGCTCTTGGCCAACGATAAACCACCCGCGCCCGCCCCCAAGAAACGCGTGCGTGGCAACTTCGGTGGCCGAAAGTGGCGACTCGGCACGCTCTCCATCTTGTGGGGAAGGAGCCAGCCCATGGCAAGATTGCCAAGGCGGAGCGAGGAGGGGGACAAGCAACTCGCTTTTGCGCTCAGCGTTCCCACCTCCCACCTCTCCACACTCCTCGGCGAGGGCAAACATCCGGGCGAGCAAGGGTCGTATCTATGTGATCCCTCCTCTTGCATTCGGTAGCTTTGATTAGGCAGGACGGGTGGTATTCTGTCGCCATCCGTTGGACCTCTGCTTTCCGATCGTAGCCACCCGCTCCGCTGCGGGAGTAGGTATATAGCGAGCCTGCAGCCTCTCCTGGACCCCTTCTTCTCTGTTCGTGCTCGCCTTGCCCACGCCTGCCCGGTCCTGCAACAGCACGCACACCTTTGCTCGTGTCACTGTTGCATCCTTCTTGTTCTTCTTTCCCTCATCGTCTGTCCCTTGACAGGACTGCGATCCCACCCTCCCCACCTCCCTTCTTCTCCCAGCCTCGTGTTGGTTGAGAACCGCCGCGTCCGGCCCAGGGAAGGATCAACCACTCAAAAAAGGAGGGAGAGAGAAAAGAACCGAAGAATCGAAAGGACAAGCTCGCCTGACAGCACACCAGTCGAGATGGCTGCGAACCAGGGCATCGGCACCGACCCGACGGGCCCGACGGAGAACGAGAAGAAGGTGGTCATGGACAACATGGCGCGGCAGGACTCGTCCAGCCTCAACGGCGGCGCGCAGATGGGCCAGCAGCAGCCGGTGGACGACTTAGCCGGGCCGCAGCGACGGCCGTGGCACCGCGCGCTCGTCGACTCGGCCAAGACGCCCGGGTCGGCCATCCAGATCATCATCGCGGCCGCGCTGGCCATCACCATCGGCATGTCGGTAACGACGCAGGTTGAAAAGGTGCCCAAGGCGGTGATCGACCTCGTCATGATCCCCGGCGACCTCTGGCTGCGGGCGCTCAGGGCGGTCGTCATGCCGCTCATCATTACGGCCATGATCCTTGCCATCGTGCGGCTGCGCGAGATGACGGGCAACGGCGCCATCCTGGCCCGCTGGACCGTGGGCTACTATGTCTTCACCACCATGATCGCCATTGTGCACACGTGCATCCTCGTCGACCTGGTCTGGCGCCGCCTCATGACCGAGGTGACGGGCTCCGCGCTCGAGCTGTCCGACTCGCTGTCCAAGACGGTGGAGACGCGCAAGGAGTTCGAGCCCCACGTGGTCGTGGTCGAGATGTTCCGGTCCTTCATTACCAACAACATCTTCCACTCGCTCGCCAACGATGGCCTGCTCGCCATCCTCATCGCCGCCTGCGTCGTCGGCTACCTGCTGGATCCCATGGGTCCCATCATGAAGGCGGTCGAGGAGATCGAGAAGCTCGTAACCACAATCATCACCTTCCTCATCAAGATCGCCCCCATCGGCGTCTTTTTTCTGATCCTGCCCAACCTGTTCCGCCTCAACATCGCCGAGATCGGCCAGAACCTGGGCGTGCTGCTCGGCTCCGCCCTGGCCGGCATGTTCCTGCACCTCTTCATCCTGATCCCCATCATCTACGTCATCGTCGTGCGCGAGAACCCCTACCCCGTCTGGTTCGCCTCGGCCCCGGCCTGGCTGACTGCCTGGGGTACCGCCTCCTCGGCCGCGACCCTTCCCGTCACCCTGCGCGAGGCCCTGGCCCGTGGCGTGCCCAGCACCGTTGCCAAGTTTTCCGTTCCCCTGGGTTGCTTGATCAACATGGACGGGTAAGTCTAAAGGAAAAAGGAGCAATACCAAGAGAAGAAAGAACCGAAAAGCTGACATGCTCCCCACAGTACCGCCATCTACTTCCCCTGCTGCGTCGTCTTCCTGGCCCAGACGCAGGGCATCGTGCTCGACGGCACCAAGTACGTCATCATCGTGCTGCTCGCGACGCTCGCCTCGATCGGCACCACGCCCATCCCGTCGTCGTCGCTGGTCCTTACCGTCATGATCGCGCAGTCGGTCGACGTGCCCATCACGGGCATGTACGGCGTCATCATCGCCATCGACTGGTTCGTCGACCGCTTCCGGACCGCCACCAACGTCTCGGCCGACATCTACGCCGCAAAGATCGTCACCAAGATCACGGGCATCAAGGACGCCGAGGACGAGTCCTCGTCCGACGACGACGCCGTCCGCGCCCCCGACTACGCCCCGCCCGCCGGCCCGCCCCAGGACAACGCCAACCGCGTCTGAGGCCGTGCACGCCCGTGTGTGTGTGTCAAAGTCATGTCGTTTTTTTGATGATTCAATGCGTGTGTTCGTTTGATGCGGTACGATAATGTTTTCCGTCTCAGGTTTTTATCTGATGGGAATGGGTAATAAGCTCGTTGATTGCCTCGGCTTGTTCTTTTTCTGACCCCATATTCTCCCTTCCTCGTTGTATTTCATTATCTCCCGGGGAAACCTGCGCATTTGGTCTCTGTGGAGGAGTTGGGCGTCAGCCAGAGACGAAGCGTGCATTTCACAGCCAGCTTATTTACTATCTCACCAGTCTTTTGATGATACCAAATGACGCTCTTTTTATGTTATGTGGCTGTCCATCACCTACTTGAATCCCAGGATATTGCGCCACACATCTCTTGCCCACCACCACGCTCCTGCTTGCCCCTGACTGGGCGGTATGCCAGATACTGTCTATGAACCGTGTTGTCGGAACCGCCTATCAGCTGGCCTGTTGGGCCGCTGGCTAGCTCCGAAGCCTCGAGCTAGTGGCGTTGCGGCTGAAGGCCCAGCCGATTCTGGCGCGCCGTTTCCACCCTTCCGAGGCCCCGCCGCCGCCTGCGACAGCCGAGAAAACAGCCTGGTGACGCCTTGCTATTCGCTGGCGCTCGGCGGCTGTTCCCTGTTCGCAAAAATGCCTTGCGGTCTGGTCGTGCGTCCCGCATTGGTCTTGCCCGACTTCGGGACATGTGTGGCTTGTCCGTTCGAGTCGTTGCGTCGATGCTGTGCTCGCTTTGTCTTGCTTGTAGGCGGTCGGCCGGCGGGGGAAGTTGGCGTTCTTCTCTCTGGTGCGTCTACAGCATTTCGCTGGCCGCTGCCCAGCCTTGATGTCCGACTGCATGGAAGGATTGCAGTGGGATTGACCTCGCGCAGGTCGTTTCGCCGATGATGGCCATTCCGGAAGGAATGTCGGGCGAAAAGAGGCACGAGGAGGTGAGCCGAGTGGAGCAGTGCCCACCCCTCATGTTTGTGCTATTGGTCACCACTCGAAGTAGAGTGACGCCACCGACGCATGCACACCTATCAGTCACCAAGCACAAGCTGAACAAGGCCCAGCCAGCTGGAAAGTGCCAAACTAGCGCTGTTGGAATCACGGGTCGCGCCCGACCTACTGCAGGAAACCCAACTGCCCAAGGCAGAGCTCATCCTCAACTCGACAACTCTTGCCCTTGCGGGTGAAGGTGCTCCCGGCGAGTGGGCAAGCATGAAAGTTTTTTCAGCAGCTTTGCTCTACCCGGCAGCTTCATTAGCCACCCAGCACCCCTCTTGCCTGTCTCGCTGTAAGCCCCCACTGGAGAAGATTTATGCTTATTTCGCGTGAATATTTGGGGCTGGCTCGGGAAGGCTCACGGCCCCTGTAGCGCCACAGCCACCCTCCAGGCGCAGTGATGTCACCGTCGCCGCCGATGCAATCCCTCAGGGCCCCGAGTTCAGCCCTAGACTGCCAAGACGCGCTTGTAGATCGTGTCTACCGACCACGCGACGATGGCCTATCAGCCCGTGTGCCGCATCTGGAATCATGGCTTGGGGGCTAGCTCGCCTGTCTCAGGCACCCTCTCCCACATGAATGTTCCTTCTTCCTCATCCGGCTCCTTCTTTGGGCTGTCCGTTGGCAGGTATTTAATCCTCTTGGACCCCCCCCTTTCCTGTGTTCGTGTGACAATCCCAACAACAACAAAGGCAAGCCCAGAACCCCCCGCAAACGATCCTTTCCGGTCTCCAACCACGATCCCATCTCTCCTCCAAGACCGACACGACCAAAAGCCTCGAGCGAAAAAAAGGAAAACCCGCACAAAGATGGCCACCCCGCTCGGCCTGTACTCGCACCTGATCGCGCCGCCCGAGGGCATGACGCTGATGCTGCGCGAAAAGGTCATCTCCCTCACGGGCGACAGCTTCGAGATCAAGAACAACCTGGGCCAGGACATCTTCCGGGTCCAGGGCCGCGCCGCCTCGCTCTCGGGCCGCAAGTCGATCTTCGACATGCAGGGACGACATCTGTTTGACATACAAAAGGAGCACTTTCACCTGCACACCACCTTTGCCGCCAACGACCCGCAGGGGCAGAAGCTGATGGAGGTCAAGAGCGGCTTCAAGTGTAAGTTTTGTCCGACAGGCTGCCGCGGCGGTGCGCGATAAAAAAAAAAGGGCGAGACGGGAAGCACGGCAAGCTGACATGCGGTACCCCTTCCCCACAGTGATCGGGTCCAAGGCCACGGCCACGTTCAAGAACGCATTCAGCGGCGCCAGCGAGACGCTCCAGATGACGGGCAACTGGCTCTCGTCGTCGGCCAACATCGTCGACACGAGGACGGGCGCGACGGTCGGCACGATCCAGCGCAAGCTCAGCGGCCGCGACCTCATGTTCGGCCAGCAGACCTACGCCCTCGTCGTGCCGGGCGGCGTCGACATGGCCGTCATGGTGGCCATGTGCATCGCCATGGACGAGAAGAACAACGAGGGCGGCGGCTTCATCTTCTGAGCGGTGTGGCGTTGCGCCGTTGCTGGCTTGGGTCCTTTTTTGGAGTATTTTGCTTCCCTATCCATTTTATTTTCGTTGGTGTCCCTCATATCCTGCCTTTGGCTTCACAGGTCTTTGCCTTGTTTCATGGATCCCTCGCTGGGTGTTCTGTCGGAGTAGTATTCACCACTCTGGATTTCATGTAGCCCCTATGACGATAGATTAACGACCTGGCTGCCGATTAATAGATACCCGATCAGTCGTATCATTGTTGTCGTTCTTGAGAAAAGCGTTTGCTTCTTGTTGAAAGACGCCAATTCGACAGGCCCGATGGCGAAGTAAAGTTGGGTATAAAAGGCGACTAGTTCCAAATCTGCACTCAGAGAAAGAGAAGAGGGAAAGAAATCAGGTAGCAAAGCAACCCACAGGATGTTTTCGGATCAGGGGGATCCAACTAAAGTTATCTGAATTGCAGACTTTATAGGGGCGTGGCGCAGGGGCATGCGCCTGCTCATGTCACCCACAGCCGCCGAGGCATCCCCGACAGACACCGGGCCAGCCACACGTCGCCGGGCTGTGCGCAACCCAAAACCGCGCGGCGCGAAGCCGACACCGAAGACTTAGGCAGGTGGGGTCTACCGGGGTGCAAATCCCGGGCGTGAGGAAAACGCGGGGAGGGTTTGTTTTTCCTACGCCTGGGCACCTGGGGTTGGCAGCTTGGCGTTGCCGGGATTCCACGCGCGGCCGCTTCTCGTTTCCCGCGCACTCAGTGGTCTCCTTTCGTTGTGCTTGTGCTCTGGCCGGTGCGTGGGCGTGGTCCCACGTTGACGAGATTGTGGCGCAATCTGAGATGCGACGAGGGGTTGAATGTGTTGTCTAGCTCTGGCTCGGTGGGAGGTACAAGTGCTGGTCTTCCGGCTGTTTCCATGCCAGTTCTGGATCGTACGATGGGGAGACGTGGGGTTGGATGGAGGCCATGCCGCCGTGCTGCAGCCAAGGCGACCAACATTGACAGAGATAAAAAGTCCCCTTTGCCCGAACGGAGCGCTGCGGGTGGTGTGTTAATCATGACTTCCAGCCAATCAGGACCCGCGCAGGATGCCGCGCCGGCCCCGAGCAGGCAGGTGGGTCGCCCCAGTTCCATTCCGCCGTGGCCAAGGCTTCGGGCCATTGCGGAAGAGCTCAGCTGGCACGGCCTTTTTGCTGTGCTGCCCGCAGCTCAACCATCTACTTCTAACCGGCTCTTCTGTGCTATCTACTCCCTCCCCGCCCAAAAAAAAGCTTGAACTGCTCGACTAGGCCAGGGCCGACGGCGACGGGTGGACGGTTCGGGAGCTGCGGTGCGGGGGTGGAGCTCACAGGCGCCTGCCTACAAGAGGAGCCTCCCTCCCCGAGGACTCCTGTCGCCGTCTTGCCCGACTTCGTTCTTTGTCCCAGCCGTTCTCTTCCTGCAGATATACCAAGCCTACCCTCGTACTACCCACCGGCTGTGCCATCCAACACTAAGGTACCCACCAACCCAACAACAAAAAACCACAAATACAACCACAATGAACGCCCTGAGGCTGTCCGCCGCCCCCCGCCGCGTCCTGGTAGCAGAGACATCGCGCGCAGCCGCCGCCTGGACGTCACCGCGTCGCGCCCTGCACGCCGACGCGCCCTTCCTCTTCTCCCTGCCGTCTGACCCCGAGGCCTCGATGGCCAGAACCGGGGCGGCGCCCAAGGCGCAACACGCCACCACCACACCTACCGCGAGCGCGAGCACGTCGGCACAGAGGCCGCAGGCGGCGACATCCCCCCAGCCCCCACGCGCGCACCCCGACGCGCCGTACATCCTCTCGGTCCCGCCCGAGTTTGACCACTTCTCGTCGTCGGGCGGCGGCGCTGCCAGGGGCGGCGAGCAGATGAGGGCTTGAGGCGGATGGGAATGCGGAGCGGGTGGCAGGGGGGGTTTTGTTTCCGACTACTGTGCCGGCCTTGTCTTTTAGGTCGGTCTGTCTTGTCTTGCTTCTCCACCCAGCTGTCGGTAACGGCAGATGGGATAACGAGCTCATGAGTCCCGTTGTCGGTCTTGGCTGGAGTGGGAATGGCTTTTGTATATTTTGCACCATTCTTTTTGTCTTTCTCAAAGCGAGCGTCATAATACAGCAAATTCACCGTCAATCGTCATATAGTATAAATGCTGTCGTTGTTATCTCACTAACCGCAACCAGGAGGAAGCCACGGCCACATTCTAATGCTAGGGCTAAAATTGAAGCTGAAGAGGTCTAGTCTAAGTGTCAACGATCAACATTCTTCATGATCGGCAGCATGGGCCACTCGTCGCTGTCCGGCCGCCCGCCCTCGGCAAGCTTCGGCCGTCCAGTCCGCTCGTAGACCTGCATCTCCGTCTCCGATGCGACCCCGTGCCTCCCGATTTCCTTGGGCGGCGGCGGAGGCTCAACCTCGTCGCCGTCAGGCCCCGCCGCAGCCGCCCGTCCCTTGGCCCCCGCTGCCGCCGTTTCCGCCGCGGCCGCCTCCGTCTCCACCTCCGTCTCCACCTCCGCCTCCGCCTCGGCGCCGTTCCCCCTCCACCTGGCGGGGACGAACGTCTCCCACATGTACGTCCGCAGCGGTGCCGTGGTGCCAAAGATTATAAAGATGAACAGGCCCGGCGTGACGCCCGGCATGAAGAAGATCCAGGCGCCCGCGGCCCTGCCCGCGCTCAGGTCCGGCTCCTGCGCCCCCAGGTCGGCCGTCGCGTTGGTGACGGCCATGATCTGGAACAGCGTGTTTGTGACCTGGAAGATGCCGAGCGCCGCGAAGGCGATGGTGAAGCGCACCATCAGCCACCTGTCCCAGATGCCCTGCTTGCGCGGGGGCTGGCCGTCCCGCGTCTGCGTCGTCGTCGTGCCGATCCCGCTCTCGAGCGTCGAGGACCCGCCGCCGCCGCCCGCCGGGTAGCTGTTGTCTGGGGCCCAGTGCAGGAACTTGCGCTTGGACCGCACGTAGCGCGCAAAGATGACGAGCATGAGGGCGCAGCCGAAGAAGAGGCTGAGCATCACTGCGAATTGGCAGGGTGAGCTGTGTCAGCTGGGGGCGCGCGCGTCAATGCGCCGGAGATAAAAAAAAACAAAACAAAGGCACCTCTTACGGGGTAGGTCTGCGAGCAGGATGAAGACGACGAAGCTGGCCTGGACCTGCGGGATCCGGAGGAGCAGGATGGTGGTCAGGGGAAACAGCACGGTGAAGATCTTGCCGCCGCTGTCAATGCGCCGGAGGAGCTTGCTCCACTTCCTGCGCGCGGCCGCAGTCTGCGCCAGATGAGCAGCCCTGGGTTTGGTGTCAGCATGGCAGGCAGCCCATATCTCCATTAGTACCGCTAGATGGCGTTGACCTACCAGAACATGACACACATGGCTTCGACATTGTAGCAGTAGTATTCTGTAAGAGGTCTCCGTCAGTGGCATGATCCCAAAACAGGAGAGGACAAACTGACGAATATAGTATAGGACCAGGCTGATGCCGACAGAGCCATTGGCGATGGCGATCTCGGGGTTGCCCGGGTGTCGCTTTCTGTTCTCAAACTGCTCCCTCACTACGCTCTCATACAGCAGAACATCGTGCGTCTGCTGGACGAGCGATGCCACGATGCTCAGAGTGACAAAGTACGCGAGCAGGGCAACGTCTGGCAAGCGGCCGGTTAGTTCTTGGTCCGCCTGCGAGGCTGGCAGTAGGGCAGCCGCTCACAGCTAGTTCTTTCGTGGTGTATCCACGTCAGCCATATCATGAGCGAGCTGGCGATGAAGGCGATGCAGCAGTAGATCATGACGCCGGCCACCGTGCCTTCGGCGCCGGCAGGGACCTGGGATGCCATTGTGGCGGCTCGGGTTCGGACAGTCGGTTGTTGTTTATGGCGTCATTGCTGGAGATGTAAACTGTTGCTGTTCTGATTGTTTTCTCTTCTTTTTGCGTGATTCCTTTTCTCACTGCCGCTCTCGCTGCCGTCTGCCCCTTTTCTGCGTTGAAAAGTCAAACCCCCGGCGGCGCTGTAACGACTAGTCGAACCTTGCAGGCCAAAATAGAATCCCAACAGTGATGGCGTCAAAATTAGCGCGTGGAAGGCCTGTCAAGCGGGTGCTAGCGCGGATCATAAACCCTTCCGGTAAGCCCACTCCCGTCTCGTGGCCTTTTAATGGCAGGGCATATCGAGGGTGACATGACATAGGACCAGGGGAGATCAAACAATAGTCTTAATTACCCCAGCGACGTTGCGCCTCGGAATAGTCTCGACTAAGGGGGTCGTTCGGATGCACGGAACAAGATCGTCATTGCCGCCTGCCCCTAAACCCCAGCCTTCCACGTGTGGTGCTCTTCGTCGCATGTGGCGGCCGCTGGCGGCCCCGCACGCTAATCAGATTTCGTCACTTGCTGTGACAGAAAAGCAGGGGGTGGTTTTTCTTGAGCGTCTTGCGCCTTGTATGCACCCCTACACGGGGACCTTCCTATTACAGCCCGCCCAGCATCGTGGCCAAGCTTCCCTGTGGCTCCAGGCAAGAAAAAAAGGTCCTAATCGCATGGTCGCTGGTGTGCATCGCGTCGAGGAGCGCACACGGCTGCGTACCGAGATTTTCGATGCGGCAGAGCCGTCTAGATCTCTGTGACAGGCGCCCTGCAGCCCGCCCAGCCGGAGGCCTTTACTCCAAAGGGGAGGTCGGTCGTCAGCGCGGCGCAGATCGAGGCTCTGGGCCAAGGCACACACACCACTTAGCAATGCTCGGGAGCTTCCGTTTCGGGACGCCGTCGTGTATTTTTTTTCCCCCGCCGTTGGACAATGGCTAGAACCTGTCAGCCACTCGCGAAGCGAGGTTTCTACTCGAGGAGAGAGGCGCTGCGTGACGCGTTTCATAGCTGTCTGCTCATTTCGTGGTCAGCCGATGCTTTCCTGCAAGCATTCCTGCTTTTCGCGCAGCTTGGTAATGGCTACAACGCATCTCCGTGATCAATGCAACGCTCCGTGCAGGTATCGACAGGGGGCCGACAGAGATATCACCGTCGGCGGGCAAGTAGGGGGTGAAAGAGAGAGAACATTCCAGCAGATCAATCGTGATATTATGCAGTTGACCTGCTGCTTATCATTGCGGTAATTCCGTACCTAACCCTTAAGAAAAGATCACCAGCAAAACTTCGCTAAAACATGCCAACTGTGGCTTACCGCACCCTCGACATCATCCACAAGGCAGCATCCCCGGCGTCCTCCTGGTAGTTTGTGTGCTTGTCATTTACGATGATTCCTCCCTCGCAGATGTTGTCACCGTCATGGCAGATAACCCTGTGCTTGGAGGCGGGGATGTTGGCAAGCGTGCGCTTCATGAAGGGGTCGCCAAGTGTGAGGACTGGACGAGAGGATTAGCAAAGCCAGCCTGCGTGAAGATGGCAGGCAGCAAGTAGCAGTCAGGACGCAGATAGCTTACCAGCTGTGACTTTGCCAGCGACGTCAGCAGTCAGCTGCCCGGCAGTCCTGTGAACAAGTTGTGCGCCTTGGCTGTATCCCGAAAGGATGATCTTGGTGTTGGGGCATTGGGTTGCCGCCTGAGGATCCGAAGCAGAGGAAGGTTAGCAATTTCGACAAGGCAGCCATCAAGCACCGTTACATCGGCAGCGGAAAAGTCAGGAAAACTGCGGATGCCTCACCCTTGCCACATGAGCCGTCATGGTGTTAGCCCCGTCGGGATCCCCGCCGAGCAGGAAGCCCAGGATACTGGCTGGGTACGTAACCCCTTGTACCGCGAGCTTATTAGTACCCAGGAGGGCAGCAAGAGCGTTGAACATGAGGGGCCCGACGGCCGCCGGGTCGCCCACGTTGCCTTGCTGGATGGTGCCGCGGGCATAGATGAGAGTCACGTCCCGGCATGGGGTGCCGTCGATGAGCTGGTTGTAGGTGTTTCCCGAGTACTGGCGCGCCGAGAGGAGGACGGGGGCGGCCGAAACCACCGCCGACGAGACGACGGCCGCAAGGGAGAAGAGGCCTGAAACCTTCATGTTGATAGGGAGTAGGCGTTCCGGGAAGATGGGGACTGGACGGCAGGTACGCGTGCTGGGCTGGCTGGCGCTGAGCTGGGGCTGCTAAGCACTGGACGACCTGATCAAGACCTGACGGCACACATGGCCACTAGACTTAGGAAAGAAGCCGGACACGGCCCGTATAAATACATGATCCTCTACCTCGGCCTGCCGGCCAGCAGCCACCTCGAGCCGCTGAGGCGCGCGAATCACGCAGTCCCCAAGGCCCGCATTGCTAGATGGCGCGAAGCGTGATGAGGGGCGGTGATCATAATCGCTCCCCCAATTTCTCCATTGTCGACGCCCAACGGGGCAGGGAGATCGCATGGCAGGGACAGGTATTGACGGGAGAACTTCTGGCGCGGCGCAAGCAAATCTGGGGATGGCAGATGAACGAATACGCCCTTGCGGGGGTAGCCGTCGCGCTGGGGCACGTCGCATCGTCGTCCAAGCCACCCATGACCAAGGTCGCAAGCCGGTTGCGATCCCCGGTCCACGTGCCATCGGTCCAGTTTCCTAGTCCAGCCTAGCACGGAGAGTGCCGAGGACTGGGGAAGAGGAAGACGACCTGCATCTGGCGGACCGCGGGGCAGACGTTCATCGCTGTGATAGGGCTGCGGGGGATGACATGGAGAAGAAGCACAACGGCGAGCTTGCACTTGCAAACGAATGGGAAAGAATGAGGGACAAGCGTCAAGCTCAACATGCTCCCAGCCACTCATTGTCAGGAGGAGGCGGATTATGTGGGGCTTCCACCTGCGCGTGACATTTTGAACCTCACCGGGGCCTGCATCAGCGCCCGCTTGATGATCGAGGGCAGGCTCCCGGCGAATGCTGGCACATAGAGCCGTTACGCATACGCAGTGCGCCGATCCTAATTTATTACAAGGCCAATATTTATTCCGTGAAAGCAGTGGATTCCTTCGGTTTTGCGAACTCGTGCGCTTCCAGCTTCCCGCGATAGAAAAAGAACAATGAACAGCTTCCCTCAGCCTGTACCCGCCCACGACAAATGTTGAGGATTTTGACCCGCAATCGTCACGATACCTGTTGGGACTTGGCGAGGGCAAGCTGGGCCATCGCTCCACTGAAAGAGCAAAGGGTTACGAGGTGGAAATCCCCGCTCCAATCCTTCATCGCTTGCGCTTGCGCGGCATATTTGGTCCCGCACTGGATATTTTCATTTTTCGCAAATAAAGCCATAAAATCTAGGTGTCTAGAGACGTATGTAGGCGGCTAACCTCCAAGCGACAGAAGACGCAAAGAAACGAGGCGGAAGCTTCCGAACGCCTCTCAATTTAGTACCAAGCCTACAATTTCGACAGCCGCGTCGATCAGGCGGTCTGTAAGTAACCTGGGCTTTGGCCGCGAAAACGGACTAAATGTGCACAAAACACAAACGCTTGTGTCAGCGAACAATTGGGCTGGGAAAACCGGGCACGGCTCGAGAAAAGGCGGCTTCAGCACATTTACCTCGGCTGCCAACCATCCCTCTCGTACACCAGGATCGCCACCGGGACGATGTAGTCCTCCTGGTACACGATGGTCTCTGGGTACTCGACAGCGCCGCCATTGGCCTTGGTGACGGCCTTGACCTGTGTAGCGCCCGAGGGCACGAGGTCAGTGTCTTGTCCACGAGGAGCCCTCATCGGAGAGGTACGAGTTGCCGCTGCCAATGCATACACAGTTGTATCCTCTGTCCGGACTAGTCCTGCCGTGGTCGGATTTCTTGAGGTACTGGGGACAGCTGGTGATGACACGACAGACGATGATGACGTGCTTCCTGGACCGAACATGCGAGTTCTGGGCGTAGATGTCGGCCTCTAGGAGGAGAACCAGCACATGGGTCAGCTGATGCTAACACAACTAGAGATGTGGGAACGGGCTTACTGGACACCATCGGGGTGGTGTAGATGCCTGGACCAAACATCCTTCCGAAGCCTGGAAAGAGGCTGTATTAGCAGCAGCCATATGGCAAATAAGGCCACATCATCAGGATGCTATGCTGTCTGCGTGTGTGAGGTTTCGTACCGGCTTTTCCAAGCTTGAAGGACTGTCGGAGGATGCCACAGACGTGGCACTCGCTGCTGCTGCAAGGGTCCAGGTTGTTTCTGTCCTCTCCAATGTAGCATGATCTCTGAGTTCCATGAAACAGGTCCTCGACGTCACCACCTACAGCTCTCCTGTCATTAGAGGCAACAAAATCAAGTCAGCCGTCGCCTACACTTGGTTATATGGAGAGCGCGGAGAAAAACCACTGCTTGTTCACAAGGCTTACCAGGCAGCTGCGAAGCGCCTCCCGCGGTATGATTCCTGAAGGTCATCCTTCCTCACATAGTAGATTGCTTTTATGTTGCCAGATTTTCCCGGGTGCTGCCAGCCTGCGTTGAATTTTGCTTCGTCTAGGTCGGTTAGTAGACTCCCCTCCAGCATTTTTTTCATATTAATGGAGGAGAAATGTAAAAGCTTACACTCTTCATACTTGGGATGTGAGGCCGGCAGAACAACGAGTGGCTTGAAGAGGCCCATCGATTAGCAGCCACCCCGCCGATCTGACCTGGGCACGCCTCATAGCTGTCGCACTTACCGGCGGCATTGGGCGAGAGGAACTTGGGTAGGTGGATAATGATTGATTAACGGGGGCTCCGGGAGTGATCCATGCATACGAATGCGTGATGTCTCAGACATATGGGCTGTAGCTAAATCGGTGGCAAAACTTGCGAGCAGAGGAGCGTATTAATCATTCTTTTTGACAGAGCTATTGTCGAGCGCCTTTGTTGCTGTCCCTGACCAGCCCAGAACGTGGCTTGAAATTTGCCATATTTCCTCGCCCAATGTAATAACGATAACACGTGTTTCCGTACGAGCCGTGATGTCTCCGTGGGCAAGAAGTATAGCAGGGCGAGCGGGAGAACGGACAGCCAAAATTGTCCAGGCCATCCAGAAGTGCATTTCAATACGACTAGTCAAATGGGTAATGAGGCCAAGGGTTAGTGGCGTCCATTCAAACATAAAGTTATCAAGCAAAGGTGTGGGTGGTGTTGGCATGCAATAACGACGTGGCAGGAGATGGGGACGTCCACCTCTCCGAGCTGAGTTGGCGACGAGGCTTCCTGGGGATGAGAGACTGAGTGGGCGCGTTCATTTGATATAAATCGTTTGCTTAGCGCCCGCGTTTGACACCTTTCACTTCCCGCAGTCCAATTAGGCCAGGTTGATCGGGCGATGTGGGGCTGCTGCTGACTGCAGCAGCAAGATGTAGGGGTCCAAGCTCCAGACCATACCCAAATCCAACGTCACTCTCGCCTCGTCTGGGCGCTGCTGCCTGGTCGGTTGGCATGCGCAGCTGTCAGTCTTGACGAACTCGGTCGAGGGAGGCCATTCGTTTTCCCTTTCGCATTCAAAGCTCCGCGGCGGTATATCAATTGTTTGCTGTCTTTATTGTATGTCGCGCCGGCTCCCTGAGCTTGCGTCTCCCCTCCCTCGAGCATAAACTTACATAACCTTTTCCACATGTTTTGCGGTCCCTTTTGGAAGCAGCCAGGAAGGCCCCACAACCACAGCAAGCGCCGAGCGACCCGGCGCCTTCGCGACGGCGAAAGTCACAGGATGCCGCGCTACTACGAGCCGCGCAGGGAGCAGCTGAGGGCGACGTGCCGCGAGACCCTGCAGGTCGCGGGCGACCACCTCCAGCAGCTCCAGCAGACGGCGGCCGCCCGGCAGGGGTACAAGCACAGCCTCGCCACCCTCCCGCTCCTGAGCGCGCGGCACTGCCCCAACTTCCCCCAGCCGGCCAAGGTCAGGGTCATCAACCAGGACACGCTGAACGCGGGCATCAGCCTCATGTCCCAGCGCGCACCCGCAGCCGCAGCCGCGTCCGCACCCGCCCCCACATCGGGCGCCCTCCCTGCCGCACCAGACCCGGAGGTGGCGGTCATGATATTCGGCAACCGGCACTGCCCCGGCGGCGGGTGGCGCAACGGCGCGCTGGCGCAGGAGGAGGCCGTTTGCTACCGCAGCTCTCTCGCGCTGAGCCTCGAGAACGCCCAGTACCCGCTCGGCCGCAACGAGGGCGTCTTCAGCCCCTACGTGCTGGTCGTGCGCCAGGACATGGACCGCAGCGACCACCGGCTGATACCCGGCCCCCCCGAGTACCTGCCCGTCGTCAGCGCCATGACCGTCTGCGCCATCTTCAAGCCCGAGATCTCGACCGTGCCCGTCGCCCACGGCTCGTCGTCGAGCTGCGGTAGCCGCGCGCAGGCCGAGCAGAGCAGCCGTCGGCCCGCACAACAGCAGGATATCCAGTCCAGCCCCGCGGGCCGTCAGTCACCCACCCCGCCGCCCCAGCGGGGCTGGGTAGGCGGGGGGAGCCGGGGCGGACATTCTTGGGGCAACAGTGGTAGCGGCGGCTGCGGCGGAGGCGGCGAGGCATCAGACGGGAGAGCCGAGTCTCGGACGACGGGAGGGGTAGCACCGCGGGAGAAGTCGATATTCGCGCTGGGCCGCGACCGGCACTACACCATGGACAAGATGAGGCTCGCGCTGCGCATGGCGGCCTTCCACAGGAAGCGGTCGATCGTGCTGGGGGCCTTTGGGTGCGGCGTGTACGCGAACCCGCCCGAGGACGTGGCTCAGTGCTGGCTCGAGGTGCTGCGTGAGGACGAGTTCCGCCTGACGGGCAACTGGTGGCGCGACGTGTGCTTCGCTGTCTACGACCCCAGGGGGGAGGGGAACTACGAGGTCTTCAAAAAGGTGCTGCACGGCCACCGAGTTTAGGGCGTTGGCATACCAATATCGTGTTCAAACGTAATTTGACAGCTTGGGGGTTTGTCTGCAAGAACGTCGCTGGCCACTTAGCACTACTGCATGTGATCTTTGTTTGGGTTGGACTTGGGCTTGTGGATGCGCCCACAAGCTGTGTCCATAATCGTTATCATTTACAATTAAGACGTCGACGCCGTCCCAGACCCAGACGCTCTAGGCACCGTCGGCCTCGCCAGGGCAGGCGCAGAAGGTGACGTTGTGGAAGCTCAGGTTGTTGAACTCGTCGAGCTTGAAGGTGGCGCGCTCGCCGTTGCGCGGCATAGGCTGGGCGCCCGTCGTGTAGCCGACCTGGCCCTGGCCCATCCAGTCGCACACGGCCCACGCCTGCTGCGGCGTGGCCGAGGCCGCGTGCAGGAACAGGCCGCCGTCGGCCAGGTAGAAGGTGGGTAAGGAATATCTTGGAAGGATTTGACGCTGCCGCAGGCTTCACTTTATATTACCTAGCGATGGCGGCGAATCAATGCGCGCGGTGGCACCGTGACTCATGTTGTTGGTAGCGGCTTGAACGCAACGTTGTATTTCCATGGAAGATCGACAATTCGCATCGTGGTGCTTTGTCGCTGCTGCGTCGCTACGCGATATCATCCATGGTAGCCCGCTGGGTCAATCCGAGCTGAAATACGGGGCGGCCTACGTAACTGCCGCCAATCGTGGCCAGTGCCGCAGCGGATTGAGAAGGCTGGCACGCTGACATGGATTGCTGGGCACGTGCTGGACCAGCAGCACCGCCACGCGCCGTCGGGTCTAGTTTTGGGGCACGTCGAATATTGAGAAGTCCAAGTGATATCGTGGTTCCAGAAAGACGCCGATACCATGTTAACCGCCTTCCAGGAGGCAGAGAAGAACCTTGATGCATTCAAACCCCCATTTCTTGTTTATTTTTGTGACTAGGTACTCAACACACACCAGCCAATCCCGGATTGGGCAAGTCAGGGAGCACACAAAAGAAGCAGCTCCATCAGAATCTGACAGGGTACCACAGGCTGTCGATGATTCTTGATATAATATCACTCACTAGGTACAAAAACACTTGATTACCAACGTGTCTGCCACAAGCAGGCCTCGCCGCACCCGACTCCTTGAACCACTCACTCATTTCCTCTTGTCGGCCTGCAGAAGAAGCTCCATCAACCCAGCTCCGACTGTGTATCGGGTCGCGTCGAACTCCTCCTGGTCCGGGTAGAAGGGGCAAAAGCCCTGCTCGGCCGCGGCGTTGTTCCCGTACCCAAACTCGATGCCAAACCCAAAAACCTTGTTCTTGGACCTGTCGACGAGGTGCCGGCTGTAGGCGTGGTCGACGGAGCAGCCCGTGCTGGGCCCGACGCCGTGCATGGCCTCCCACGACGGGAACGACTGCAGGCCCGCGTTATTCATGCCACCCGCGATGCGGTCCGCCACCAGCGACAGCGCGTCCCAGTCGCGCTGGTCCATGTACTCGCGGTACTCGAGGCCGGGGCGGTCGGGCAGCACGCCCCTCTTGCCGTCGTAGGCCGGGTTGCGCCAGTTCATGTCCCGGTCGTCCGACTGGATCGTGTCCAAGCACCAGCCGTGTATCACCATGCCCGCCACCGAGTGCAGGTCTGCCATCCAGCCGACGTTTGGGTGCGTGTCGAGCACCCAGCGCACGTTGCGCGTCTCGGGCTCCGAGAAGGCGGCCGTGCCGTGGTACACCTGGCTGCTAGGGCTGCGCGTGTCGAACTGCGGGTCCGTGCCGACGGCCTCGGGCGCCATGTACTTGTCCACGTCCCACGCGACGTCGTAGTTGCGGTTCAGGTCCACGCCGACCGAGGCCTCGTCGCCGGCGGTCGCGCTCTTGGGGTTGCGGTTCTTGCGCCAGCAGCTGTTGGTCTGCTGGTCGTAGGCCACGCCGTCTCTGCCATTGGGAACTTTCGTCAACACATGGATATCCAGGGCATACAGTACTAACTACCCTCTCTCTTTGGCTACGGGGCTTGACTCACGGGTTTGCCACAGGAATCACCACGAGCCCGAGGTCCAGCGCATTGACGACCTGCTTGGCCGTGTACCGGACGCCGCCATACGTCAGGCCCTTCTTCTCCTCGCGCGCCCAAAGGAGGTCCGAGACGAAGTAGAGCAGGTGGTCCGGCCCGCCCCTCTCGCGGGCGTGGGCCGCGGCGAAGAGGAGGACGCTATAGCCCTTGTAGCTGCCCGGCTTACCCCCCTTGCCCGGCTTGCCGCCGACGCGGAGGCCCGAGAAGGTGGCGTTGTTGTACGTCCTCTCGGGCGCGTCGAACAGCTCGACGTCCCTAAATCGCCTCGCCAGCGCCTGCGAGGCCGACCTGACCTCGGCCACGCTCATGATGGAGACGGTGGGGCCGCCGCCGGGCTGGCTGCCCACCCCGCGCGGCGGGTTACTGCCCCCGGCGAAGCGGTCGGTCGTGGAGACGGGGAGGAAGGTGCCGTTGCCGTTGCCGCCGGGCCCCTGGCGGCGGTAGATGGTGTGCTCGCCGCTCCTTTCCTTTTCCGTCAAGCAGGCGGAGGCCCCCCACGCCCAAAGGCAGTAGAGGAACACCGATAGGCTCATCTTGAGAGTCACGCTGATTTGGGCTAGGGAGTGGTTGTTGGTGTTGGGCTGGTGGCTCCTGGCGGGGAGGAGGTCGCGACTGACATGAGACGGCCAACGAGCCTAGTCTTTATACAGAATGGTGGTACCCCTAGATTTGGCCATGGGGGAGGGACGACAATACTAGGCGCACCTCCAGATGCCAAGACTGCCTGCGTTTGCACGCTGGAACAGGCAAGGTGTGGTGACAGTACTCAGTATTGCCCACATTCTTCCACGGGGCCGGGACGAGCAGGCTGCGGGACATACTTGCCGGTTGCCACGACTGGCGAGCAAACACGCGGCAGGCAACGAGCGTCTGTACCACCGAAGCATTCTAGAAGGTGGAATACCTACCCATGGCCCACGCAACGGCCCTCCTCGGCTGCAAGCCATAGGCACAGGGGGACATTCCGTGGTTGATAGTCACATCGCCTGAAGCAAGAATGCGACAGATTAGCCCAGGTTTCTGGGACATTTGCGGCTGAAAATGCCATCGCGGGTTGGCCAGCCGGGTTCGCCGGATCATGGTCGACGCGTTTCCCTTGCTATTGTCCTTGAGTCCAGGCGTTGCCATTCGGTGGTGCAGATCCACCGGCGGAATTCGGCCCTGCGATTCTTAGCATTGTCCCCCCTGCCGCCACGATCGGTCTTTCGGCCAAGAGACGCGCAGGGCTTGGTCATGCACACCTGCATATCAATATCACGCCTTGGGAACACAAAGGCAATAGAGAGGACAGAAATCGGATGGTAAAAAGGAGAACTCGAATCCTAAAGCAGCCACTGGCTCTGCTATCGGAATAGCGAGTACCGCCGATACGAGGCAGCAGTAGAAACAGTGTGGTATTGATCTGGCTTGCCGCAAACATTCCGGGCGGGGGCTGCATGTTCGGGGTGGAGGGCAAATCCAACCTTTTACTACGCCGCGCCCGCTGTGATTCTCTCTCAAGTGCGCCAGGTTGGAGTTTTCCAATTCGCTACCGCCGGGGCATTTATCCAGCGCAGTAGGCAGCACCTGCAGACCAAGCAATTAGAAGGGAGGCTGGGTGTCACAGGACCAGAAATATACAGCCCGGAAAACCTGTGGATGGCTTCCCTTGCCAGCAGCCGACAGAGACACTCGGCCCGGCTGTGGATGTGACAAAAAGTCTGGGAACTTTTGAATGAATACCAGCCACCAGCCACCCGACCTACCCTGCACCCACCCTGCATAATAGGATGTTGGTGACTTGGATTGAGGAATCTATACCTGTTCAGGACACAAGGCCAGCGGCCCCGCCTGCCGCTTGGCCGTGGGCGAGTTCCAGGGCGATGGGTTGTGGTTCATGTAGGCACACGTACAAGGCTGCCAGTGACCGGCCCGTAACGTCCAACGTCGACCAGATGTCCCCCTCAGTCACGGGTCCCCGACCAAACCTTCCCGCTTGGCCGAGAGAGCTGCGCCGTGTCGGCTCCGTAATTTGCTCCAAATAGAACACCATGAGAGCCTCTTCCTTGCAACGCACTCGAGCACGCGTCTGCAGCTCAAATGAGAGCTAGACGCAACAACTGCATCCTGGGAGCTTTCGGATTCTTTGCTGACGTTTTCCACTTTCAGCCGGCAAAATTATTCTCCCCGTTCCTGCGGGAGAAACTGCTATGTGCAGAAAGCCTGCCTTGCGCCCTGCCTTGCCCGAAGCCCGCTGCTTTCGGTCCCGAGTCTGCGCATCGTCGGGACATCGATTCCTTCTCGGCCCGACTCCCAAGTCATCGATCCTTCGCCCGCGCGAGGTCTGCCCCCGACCGGTTTCCCCCACTACTCGACTTTTAGGATCGCCATTTCTCAACGACGTCACGGACGCCATGTACCCCTCTCCCCCGGGCTGCCCACACCATGTACATGGCCAGCGCGTTGGCTGGGGCTTGCTCTTCGGGCGGTATAAATGGAGCACCAGCCCTCGCCCTAGCCGCAGCGAGTGAAGATTGGCGCGGCGCAGAGCCACGGATCCGTGCCCAAGCACATACTCCTCACTCGAGAGAATGGACAAACACAAGACAGGCGCTATGATGGTGCTCTATCAAGCATGGCTTGCCTCCGCCGTGGCGGCAGAAGCGTTCGACTACATCGTCGTCGGAGGCGGCACCGCCGGCCTGGTGGTCGCCAGCCGCCTGTCCGAGAGCCCCTCGGTGAGTGTGGCCGTCATCGAGCCCGGCGGCGACGAGCGTGGTAACCCAAACGTCACCGATCCCGACTCCTGGCTGCTCAACTTCAACACCCGCACCGACTGGGCGTACAAAACGGTGCCGCAGCCGGGCGTCAACGGGCAGCCGCTGGACTACCATCAGGGCAAAGCGCTCGGAGGTAGTAGTGTCATCAATGGTAGTGTCCATTCCCCGGGAGTTTTGTTCAGACGACCAGCTCATAAAATTCTAACCGCCCGCAGGCATGACATATATCCGCGCCGACGCCGCCGAGATGGACGCGTGGGAGGCGCTCGGGAACCCGGGCTGGAACTTCTCCGCCCTGTTCCCCTACTACCTGCGATCAGAGGCCTTCACTCCCCCCAGCGAGGCGCTGCAGAGAGCGGGCGTCACCTACGAGCCCGCGATGCATAACCAGCGGGGCATGGTCCACACCGGCTACCCGCGGGGCTTCACCACGGACTCGCCCTACACCTTCTCCGTCCGCGAGGCCTTTGAGAATCTCGGCGTGCCCCACAACGTCGACCCTGCGGGCGGCAGCGTCTACGGCGTCAGCACGAACCCCCAGACGCTCGATCGGGGGTTGAACATGCGCTGGGACTCTGCGCGCGCGTACCTGCACCCGGCCGAGAACAGGCCGAACCTGAAGATCATCAGGGGCACTGGCCGGCGCCTCACTTGGGCTTCTCCCGGAAAAGGGACGAGGCAAGGGGCGGGCTGTCAAGGCAAACGCGCTTCGGGTATAGAGTACATTGCAGCGGATGGCAGGTCCGTGGAGCTCTCGGCCAACAAGGAGGTCATCCTCTCGGCTGGGTCGCTGAGAAGCCCGCTGATACTGGAGGCTTCGGGGATCGGCAACCCACGGTGAGGGTCACCCGCCGCGCACCAGCCGCAACCCCAGCGTCAGAAGACGGACCGCTGACGGGGCCATGTCGTTGCAGAATCCTCAAACACCTGGACATCGACGTCGAGATCGACCTCCCAGGCGTCGGCGAGAACTTCCAGGAGCAGCCCAACACCAACTTCCAGTACAGCAGCGCCGCCAACCTCACAGGCCACACCGTGTTGCAGGCCTTCATCAGCGCCGCCGACCTCTTCGGCGCGTCGGCGCCCGCCGTCGCGGCCCACGCGCGCGCCGAGCTGCCCCGGTGGGCCGAGCTGATAGCGTCGGCGGCAGACAGGCCCGAGCACACGGCCGCGGTGGAGACGCTGCTGCGCCTGCAGCACGACCTGATCTTTGGCAGAGGCGACGACGCGCCGTTCGCCGAGGTCCTCGCGCTCGTCGCGGGGGGCGGCGTCGCGGGCTCGGCCGGCTGGATCCTGTTCCCCTTCTCGCGCGGCAGCGTGCACCTGGCGTCGGCGGCCGTCGCCGACGTGGACAGGCCCGTCATCGACCCGAGGCTGAACCTCGTCGGGTTCGACCTGCGCGCCCAGACCGAGGTCGGCAAGTGGTCCGAACGGCTGTGGCGCACCGAGCCGCTGGCCTCGCTCGGCCCGGTCCGCGTCGCGCCCGGGCTGCATGTCCTGCCGGAGAACGCGACGGATGAACAGTGGTTGGAGTTTACGCGCACTTCGAGTTAGTAGAACCTCTTTCACTTCCTCCATCCCCTCAGCAGCTAACCACCCGCTGAACTGGTGCCCAGCCATCCTCGGGTCGCATAACCTCGGCACGGCTTCCATGATGTCCAGGGAGCTCGGCGGGGTGGTCGACCCCCAGCTCAAGGTTTACGGGACCAGCAACGTGCGGGTCGTCGACATGTCCATCTTCCCCATGCAGCACAGCGGTCACCCGACGGCCACTCTTTACGCCATCGCCGAGCGCGCCGCCGAGATCATAAAGCGGTCTTCCGTATACAAGTCTTGATAGCAAGGACGAGAAATAGACAATCCCGATACGAGAAACAACTTGGCACATCCGAAAGTGCGCCTTTGGTTTCGGGAGTAGTGTCTGCACGGGTATCGCCCAAGGGCAAGAAAAAAATCTTGACGTCGAATATGAGCGCCTGGTACGCGTTGGTCACTTTATTATGGAAGCCTCATGCGCGAGACCGCGTCTCTAGTGTAGGCCTTAGACAGGGGATCTTCTCTCTCTCTCTCTCCAGCCCCCTCTATTCCCTAGGCATTCTTATTGCCGGCCTCGAGTGACTTGGCCTCAACCTCTTGTACCGTCTCGACCTCGTTATTCTGTCAATATGTTAGCCGACTGGAGACACCACGAGCATGGCTCCTTTTTGTAGTATAGTAGGACATACCTCATAGTCTTCGATCTTCTTCCCCTCAGCCTTGACGCCGACGCACACATAAGTTCGGAACTTGCGAGGGCCGATTTTTGCCTCGAACTGAAAGTAAACAAGTGGGCGTGGTTAGTTCACAGTTCCAACCAGCAACATTGACAAAACAGAGACAGCAACCGGGCAGGCAGCCACCGGGCAGACAGCAACTCACCATCTCGTCAATCTCCTCGAGCGTCCGGCCCTTGGTCTCGGGGAGGAAAAGGTAAACCCAGGCGGCACCGATCATGGCGGACGGGAACCAGATGAAGCCGTACCGCGGGCCCCAGTTGAGCGAGTCCGGGTTGATGAAGTAAGGCGCGGTGAAGGTGGTGAGCCAGGCGAAGAAGAAGCCCACGGCGGCCGCGAGCCCAAAGGTGTGGCTCCGCAGGCGCTGCGACGGGATCTCGCCGCCGGCCAGCCAGGCGTAGGCCGCGACCAGGCCGTTGTAGCTCGCCATGTACAGGCAGCTGAGCGCGACCAGGACCTGGCCCGTCGACGACTGGCCCGGCCGCTGCTGGTAGACGATGGCGATGATGAGCTGCAACACCGCGCACATGACCAGGCCGGACCCGATGAGCACGCGCCGCCGGCCGTAGCGGACCACGATAAGCGAGTTGGCGAGCAGCGCCACCAGCCCGACGGTGCTGAGGACGCACGACATGCCGAACGGGTCCTGGACGTTTGCCATGGTGAAGAAGTACGCCTTGTATGCTGTTGAGGGAAGTAAGACGAGGTCAGATATAACCATCATTTACCATATCCCACTGCGCGGGGCACATGGCTGGGCCGCGGGAAGGGGTACGTACCAATGATGAACATGGAGCCTGAAGCAGCTTGCAGCGTAACCGCCGAAACGGAGAGCAGGGTACGCCGGCGGTCGACGGGGTTCTTGAACATGTCGAGGATGCCGACGCCGCTGCTGATATCCCTCTCGCGGTCGATGGCGGCCTGGATCTCGGCGACCTCGGCGTCGACGTCGTAGTCGTCGGGCCGCAGCCAGGCCAGCGCCTTGCGGCCCTCGTCCGCGCGCCCCTGCAGGATCAGCCAGCGGGGGGACTCGGGGATGAAGAACATGGCGACCGAGAGTATGACGGGCACGATGTAGATGAGGCCCAGCGGGATGAGGTACGCCCGCTTGTCGGGGATGCCGGCGGTGGCCCAGTTGACGATGCCACCGATCAGGGTGCCCTATCGCCCGGTTTCCATGGCGTCAGCAAGACAGCGTCCATCTACAAGCCAGAATGCGGAGCACGCAACGGGGGAAGACCTACAAAGGACGTCATGAACTGGAAGACGGTCAGGAACAGGCCCCTGTACTTGGCGGGGCTCGACTCCTGGATGTAGAGCTGCGAAAAGGTCATGAACCAGCCGTTGGCCAGCCCGATCAGCAGGCGGCCGGCATAGAGAGTGCCAATGTCCTCCGAGGCCATCATCAGCACGTTGGAGACGCAGCAGAGCGCCGCGGCGAGCCAGAGGCACCAGCGGCGCGACAGCTTGGCGGCGGCGAAGCCGGCGGTGCCGGAGCTGACGAAGGCGCCCAGGGTCATGAAGGACGAGATGAGCTGCTGGCGGAGCGGCGAGAGGTTCCAGCCGATCTTGTTGTTGGCCGGGTAGCCGAATATCTCGAGGAAGCCCCGCATGGCCTGCAGGCCGCCGATGAGGCCGAAGTCGACGCCATACTGGAACGGCGAGATGAGGATGATGCCACAGGCGATGAAGCAGCGCCAGTTGGCCTTGATCGTCACCTTGCTCTCGGGGGTTGCCATATTGGGGGGGAAGTCGTCTGCGCCGCCGCGCCTCGTGTTTTGCTTGGTGTTTTCCGCAGCTCAGTGACGGGCACGAGGGAGAGGAGCGATAGTTTGCAAGGAGGCCCCAGGGACAAGGAAAAACGCTTTCAGCTGCCCTGACTCAAAGTCGGGAAGAGGTCAGTGCCCTGGAGGGAACCACAACAAACCCCCATGTCTCTCCAGCCGGGAATCCCGACCTTTTTTACATTACGGTTGGCATGCGAGGGACATCTGTAAACCTACGCCCCTGGCCTTCCCCACAAGCCTCGATCGGCATCAACGGCCAGGGTAGCTTCTGGTGCGAGCCAGGTTCTGGTGTGCTGCTGCGTGTAGAACCCCACCACCAAATGCCGAAGGGGTGCTCCTGAGTGCTGAGAAATACCGATTGCCATGGCATCCCCCAATATCTCGGCGGTCCTTTGGGTGACACTCCCACATGCGGAATAGCACCGAGAGCGACACCAATCGGAAGTGGTGTGTGCATGCTGCGCAAGATATGGAGACACTGGGGTTGGCAGCGGCTTGGGCCTTGCCGCAGGCTGAGGGAGGGGAAGCGGCCTGGCAATGTCGCAAGCAGTCTCTGCTGGGTGCATCCGCATTCGACCCACCCCCAATCTTAACTATCACCTTGCCAGCGATGCATCCCCAGCATGTCAACCCCCACAAAGCGGTGGAGCCAACGAATCTCCAACATCTCAAAGCCAGCGTCCGAGAGTTTGGTGGTCGGCTACCTTGCCTATCTAGCTAGAGTGATGAGAGTCCAATAATCTGAATTTCGAGCCTGCCTCAAGTTGGGAGAAATGGAGTGAGGGAGACGTGAGGGTGAAAACGACTGTTTGGGACCCCGCTGGCATCACTGATACGGTACCTACCATGGCATGCCCCAGATTACAGGGCTTTCCAAGATGTTTAGCCTGTGTGCCAATACTTTGCTCCCTGCCAGTCGGGGACGGAGGTGCAGCCGTGAGGGGGGACCATCCAGTCCAGACTGGGTGTAGTTCACCTGATACCCTGAGCAAATCGGCTGAATGCACCCGAGCCGCTACCGCCCTTTCCGTCCGGCTCAGTTCAACAACACTAGATCAGTGTCCCGGCCATGATAACTCGCCACCCTGTTTGTTCACCCCCCAGGCAGCCAACCCCCATGCAGGGTGATCACGATGTGACTGGCTATTGGCTGCCCAGCGTTTAGACGTTGCAACAGCATCAGCGTAGCTGCCGCGGCTGCTTCCCTACCTCCCTATCCTGGCAAAACACCAGCGCCCTCTAGATTGCCCATAATGCCGCAGCTCCTGATCTCGAGTGATTGCGGCCCGCCGCCTGCGGCCATGGTAGCCTGCACCCATCTTACAGCTGAGGAAATCTATCAAAGACCGTGATGAAGAGGTTGGGGACGGGATACCATGGCCTAGCGAAACAGCGGCCCTCGCTTCGATATTCCCGATAGCGCCTCGAGCCTCTGCGTGCTGGGTAAGCTCCCACTAGACAGGAGCCCGCCGGGCGCATGCGGGAGTGGTGGGGCGTCCCCACGCGCCAAGGTGGTTGCGCAGGCCTCGGAGGCTGGGGTTGCCGCTGAGCCTTCTCCATCGTCGAGCCCCCCCACAAACCCCAGATGTGTCGGCCTCTTCGTCCCCTTTGTTAGTGCGCTTGGCGGTTTGGATATCTGGGGCCGTCGAGGGGAAGGCGATGGGGCTCATGAGGCGCTACTGCGGCTGAGAGGCTCCAAGAACGGGGCACATGATGGGAACTGGCCTAGCGGTAGCCTATTATATGATACGACCGGTTCGTGATTACAAAGCGCTAATTGCACACTTTTATTCCGCTATAGAGTATCCCTCAACTCAAGACAACAGGGTGACACTATCTGTCCTGTTTCGCAGGGTCGGTAGTCGTCACAGGCGTAGGACTCCCTCTTGCGTCCAGCTCAGGAACGACATAGACACCATCCAGCTCCCTGACAACGCCAGCCCCATGAACCTCAGCCCCTCGCCACTGTCCATCAACCTCATAGTGTGGGCGTGGCGAGGTGGAAGGCGGAGGCGGCGGCGACGATAACTTGTAGAAGTCTTTCTTACCCATGGCCTCTCCGCCCACCGCCGTCGGGGTCATCTTGGGTGCGGCCAGCAAGATGGTCTCTGTCTCCCGATCTAGCGCGTCCTTCTGGCGCCTCCAGCGCCGCCTCTGGATGACGACAAAGGCTATAAGCCCTGCCACCATAGCCAGACCGACGACACCACCAACTATAGCGCCGATCATGGCTCCCAGGGATAGCTCCTCCGACGGCCCGCCCTTATTATTCCCATTGGCTCCTGGCGCCGAGGGGCCGGCGCTTCCGTCCGGACTTTTGGGTGCGGTCGATGATTTTGGGTCCGGGCCAGGTTTGGTGCTGTCTGTAACACATGGTCAGCCTCGATACCACCAATCTCTGTATTTGCCGCTTCACGTGCAAAAAGATGCCAAGGGGCCGTTTGCAACGTGATAGGGGCCCGGGAAACACGAAGCAAAAGCAAAAGAAAGAAAACCTACTCGGCATCGGCTCATGCGTACAGTCGTACGACATGGCACATATGGCACCATCATATTTGTAAAGGTTGGCCTGATACCTCCGCCAGCATGTGTAGTTGGTGTAGTCGTTGAAGCCCGTGCCGGCGAACGCGCCCAAACCAACTGGCGGGCCAAGCTTGGCGGTAAATGAGGTTCCCGTGGTCGAGAAAAACGCCGTGGTCGTGTTGGAGGGCCATAGCCGCGTCTGGTTGGCGGGAGTGACGACAGGTGCCACGTCCTGAGGCTTATCGTTGGGTATGCCGCTGAAGTAGGCGACCTGGGACGAGAAGACAGTAGTACCGCCGGCGCGGCAGTCGGCTAGGACGACATGTTCGTTCGGCCGCTGCTCTGTGGCCACCAAGGCGGCGAAAAGGGCGAGGACAAGCAGCAGGACGACGACTGGGTGGTGCTTTTCCCGCCGAGCGGCCTGGTCAGTGTCTGGCCGGCGTGGCATTGGTAGGCTCGGGCCCTCTTTCCGGCCGAAGCAGTGTCCCCTAGCGTCGGCACTTTTCGGCGAGGGCCAAGACGCAATCGGTCTGGCCCTTGTGCAAGAGGCCCTCCCCTCCTCGAGCCCTATGCCTTGGAAGTGGACCTCACTCGCGTGCGCGGGTGCGGCTGCTGCACGTCATGAGAAGACGGGGATGGGTAGCAAGGCAATGGCTGCGGCGATTGAGCCCGCAAGCTGGGACGGGAGATACCGAGCGGAGGAGACGACTAGGGCTGGTGGGAATCTGGGCCGATTCAGCTGCAACGGCCTCGTAGCTGCACCGAAGCTTACTGAGAAGGTCGCAGGATGTGGGGAGATCTGGGCCCGCAAGAGCTTTTTGGAAGACCGAGGCCTCGGAAGACCTGGGATGCAGCGTTGTTGACGTCGACCCCTTGGTTGAGAAGTCCGAGGCTCAAATCCCGGCGGAGCTTGAGAGCCCTGTCAAATCAAGGAAGAAGAAGAAAGGGCAGGCCACGCAAAGAAGAAAAGGAGAAAGCCCCAAGACCCATGTCGCACACGGACGACGGGTCCAACTGCGGGCTAAGAAGCGTGCACAGAAGCCCCTCGATTTCGCGCATATCCGACCCAGAAACGCCATCAAATTTGTCTTGGCTGGGGGAAAGACGAGAGCTGCCATCCCCCTTCAGCTGACAAGGTTCTCGGGATTGCTCGCTAACGCTCATTGGTCCCCTGTCGATGGTGGGCCAGATGGGGGTGGCAGTGACCGCCAAATGTCGCCTAGCGTCCAATGGACCTCTGCTGCGGTTTTGATCAGTCTGACCTTACTCAGCAGGCCGCCAGCGTGTCCACGCCAAACACACCTCCAGCTGTCAGACGCTCGATAGGATCATCGTAGCGGCACTAGCAGGTGAAACGACCATGGCGGTGGCTATACCCTTTCCGTGTCTTCCAGATAGCGGCTTAAGACCAGCCACCAAGTTTGCTAGATGGAGAAAAAGAGCAGGAGAAGCAAATATCGAAAATGATGTTCGGACCAGGTTTGTCCAAGGATTACATATTTGTGTCTGGCTATTTGCGGTTAAGCTTATGGATCCATTTGCAACAATTAGACCAATCACTTACCTCGTACAGTGCTCCTCGTCCCCACCCACTTCCCGGAGAGATCGTGTGTGGGTTGCCCAATCGTGGCCTCACCTAGGCGAACGACAGGGACAGGAGAGCAGAAAGCAGTTAGCTTCGCCCGCGGGCTATATCGGGGCTCGGTTGGGGAATGATACCGTTATGGCCTCGAAGTGATGCAGTCAGCACTTTACTGTCTCAAAGCCGAAGGAATACCCTCAATGTTCGTGGGGTCGGCAATGGCAACCCCACCTTGCGTAATCCAGACTTCGTTCCGCCCGAGCACAATCGTATTGTTCGCGCAATTACCAACCATGGCCAACGCCAAAGTCGACGCATTTGATAATGCCGAAACGTCAAGCCTGACACTCGGTCATGACCTCCGTGCCCGAGTCCCCGTGCATCTGGCGCTCCGGCCAGAACATGCCCGCGTTTCCGACGATATGATCTCTCCTGACGGCACAGCAGGCTCCACAGTTCATGGCGATATATGCAGATGCCTCTCGACCCTTTCTGGTGCCCAGTTGAGGACGGCGCTCTCGAGCGGGATCCTATTGGTAAAGCTGGTGCTGGCGCGCGGGCGCGAGCGCATGCCCTCGAGAACGGTGTCCTCCCCGAACCTGGGATCCTCGAGACTCGGCCCTCACGGTGCCCATCGTCGACCTGGGCCCGCAGTTTTCAGTGAACACCGCATTCGCGGTTAGGTAGAATAGCGCGTTGTCATCAACATCGTCGACTTGTCGGCGCCGGCCGCAATCTGGAGGCAGACCTAATTTTGGACGGGTCTGATTAAAACCTAGGACTCAGAGAGAAACACATATATCTAGTATTCTTATTTCTCTCCTTGCCACGATAGATAGCTCAGACCCCAAGTGCCTATTATCCTGTTCTCCGCCTCTTACCAGTGCCCCTCGCGAAAGCCGGGGGGAGGAACTGCGTTCACATGTCAACCGCAGAAAATAGGCAGCCAAAGCAGTCAAGGCAGCCACAAAGGCAAAATCTTGACCTCCACCCTTGGGTTTCCTTCTCGTCTGTCTTGTTGGGCCTGCCTTGCTGGTGGAAAAGGTTGGGGAAGACAATAAATCTCGGGAGCGGGAGTTGGGGGGATCTTGGATATGGACGCGCCCACGCAGTCTGTCTTTCTTGGTCGTCAGAGCTGCAAGCGGTCGATTGGCTTGCCCACATTAGCTGTCATGCCAGGGACTTCGCGGCTGCTGAAGCCCGCTGCCGTTTCGAGGGCGAGTGGAGGGCAGTCTGCAAACAGGGTCGGTGGGTGGAAAGCAGGCTGAGTCCCCGGGTGTGCAGTGGAACATCGCCAGTGAGCCATATTATCCCGTGCAAGGCGCAATGTAGTGATAGATATGCCCGAGCCAGCCGGTATGGCCGAGGTACGACTTACATGCCCGCCTCCGCCAGCCCGGGCGTGTAGTGGATACATTTTGCTCGTCAATGGGGTAGAGGTTGAATGGGCCCCCCTGGCCCGCCATAGGTAATGCCAGACGACAGTCGACGCCCTCAAACATCTGTGCTTCCGTGCAGACTGCCCCTTTGTTGTTGCCTTTGCGCATTGTCGGTCTTGCTGTTGTCTTGCCATCCTATCGTCTTCCCCATCCCTAGTCTTCTCATCTGGGCGATGCCCCAGCCGACATGACATTTGCCTCAAATGTGATCCCTCGGTGCCTGCCGGGTTGACTAGGCGTGAAGCCGACCATGCGGTGCACCGCTAGTGACCCGTAGCGTCGACTTCGGCCACTTGCTGTCCCTTCCCACTCGGCCTCGAGGGCGGCGCCGGTGATATGGGCGCTAGGACAATGGCGCTCCTGCCGGCAACCAGGGGCGGCGTCCCCGGGCTGTAAGCCAGCAAGATGCGCAAGCTGGCCGCGTTTCCAGACTCCCTACTCATTACACTGGTGCCCGCATTTGCCAAGACCGAACCTCTCACGTTCGAGATCGGGATGCTCTTTCTGACACTTCAGCTGTGTGGATGTCCAGGTGATGCTCTCGTCGCCGCCTCTTGTCGCCTTCGGCACTGTCCATCATCGCACGCATTTCCGTTGCCGATACCCACCATACGGTCCATCTACTGACCCATGGCGGCCGCGCTCGCTTGGGCTGCCACAATTACCTCTGCCTTTGTTGGTTCAATGCTTGGACGTTGCATGGACATGCCTCATCCCCTTCTTTTCCTGTCTATCCAGATCTCTGCCGGACGGAGATCGGACGGTCAAACCACGCCGTCATTCCTAGAAAACGCAACCATTCTCTTGATCTGGAGGCCTTGGATGTCTTCAGCTTCAGTGATTATCAACATCCCCTAGGTGGGTCCTTATGGCTAGGTAGGTAGTAGGTGCCTACCTAGGTAGGTGCCCAAGTAGTCATCGCGTCCCTGTGAGTGCCAACTTCCGCACGTAAACAGTAGCGGGTGATGATCAAGCTAGCTATAAAGCCTGACCGACACAGCTCTAGAACCAGCCCTTTTGACGCTCCTGTCTCCCAGCCCAGCGTGGCCGTACCTAGGGCACTCGCTTGGTTGCTAGGTCGTTCTAGTAGCCCTAGCGGTACGGGAGCCCGCCTCCTCTACTTCCCCCACCCAGCTAGGGCGCCAGCTTCGTTCCTTCCTCCAACTGACATGGAAGTCTTCTGTAGTCTTCCAGGTGGTACGTCATCCCAAGGCCCCTTGCCCCACTAGGTGGCCAACCAGATGCCAGTTTCAAATTCTTTACCCCGTTACTTTCCTTTTTGAGCTGCCGCACTTTTTCTTCACTCTTCCCAACTCGTCCTTCTTCAACTCTCCTACCAACACCACCACATCGCCATTTCTGCAAAGCCTCTTCTCAACCATGCCTACCATCAAGTCCGCCGTCAAGGCTGTTGGTTCTTGGCTCGCGAAAGTGGGCTGGGCTTTATTGACCTCGCATCCTTTCCCACTCCCGCCAGATGTCTCGGGCCCGCCTGCCGGAAGTGCTAGCGAGCCCCTCCTCCAGCCCACGCGCCCAATGCGCGAACGCGTTTCTGAGAAGAGCCGAGGGGGACCTTGAGGGTAAGCCCATTCCTACTTCCACCTCCTCTCTTGGTTCATTTGCAGCTCAGCGACCTGACTGTCATCTTCTTATCTTCTCTCTCGAGGTAGAAAGGCAGGCCAGACCCCTCCATCCCAGCACAAGAAAGACGGTAAGCTCGGATTATCTCTCCCATCCTTGCCTGTGCATTTGCCCATCTGATGATCACATCACGTTCGCTTCTTTGGAGCCTTTCGGCCATGACGACCTTTTTTTACATCCGGTTTTGTTCTGAGGCAGTTCTTAAGCTTCACGCTCCCAGTAGCCTGCTCTCTACATGTCAAAAGCTAACATCGCAAGCCACGATAGCCACAGGCGACATGTTTCGGTTCGCCAGACAAGCGGTAATTAGCAATCCCCCAACCCGCATTCTACTTTCATCCCTCATTGCCTATGATGAATCATGAATACCTTGATAAACAAAACATGATATACTGAGGCTAGCCGAAGGGCTTTCGTTGCTGACGAACTTCCGGACGTGTTCGTTCAGAATCTAACAGTGAATTTTTACCTTCAGACCAGACCACAAGAGGAGCGCAAAGCTATAGTCCTACCGGTATTATGTTATACTATTCTGTTCTCTCATCTCTACCCCAACAATCCTCTATGGTGATTCGATGATACATGTGCATACTTGCAAGAAGTGATTTTCTTCGATGTGCTAAATCAAGTTCGTTATCACCCTGATTTCATAACTCAACTTCCTCCGGCTATGTTTACAAGTGCTAACTAACAAGCAAGTCCTAGAGCTAGATGCGCATATTGTCTTCCTGCATCCAATCGTTCCTTGAGATGGTAAGTGGCTCACGATGATATGCTCCCTTAACTTGACGCTATGATGAGAAAAATACCGAAAGAGCTTTCAAATGACTGGACCCCGTTGTCCTACACATGATTACGCCAAATATGTCTTGACCTCTGACCTGCGTCTCTCGTCCGACATGCTACGTTTCCTTGGCCCCAGACCACAGAGACAGACAAGCTGACCGGATCTCCTTTGTTCTAGGCAAACAACGCGAACATGGCCGGGAATTTTCGAGGATGACACAGTACCGAAGGAGGAGGGCAAAAGGCGTCACATATCGAGGTTGGGCAATCCAAATACGCCGAGCCAAATGGTGGGTGGTGGGGTGTGAGGGTAGCCGAGATATACAGATGGCCGTCGAGCCCCATCGTACACAACCTCTGGTGATAAATACGGTATGTGAATAGATGACTGCATTGGGATTCACTGCCGAGGTAGCCCACCTTCGTTTCGTGTCGTGCCTTCTGCCCAGTAAAGGTAGCAGAGCCGCCTGTGTCTGTGAAGATTTGCTGTCGAGGGGTCAGACGGAGCCTCCCAAGCTCCGAGGGCAGCTGATGAAGCTGCACATTGGCTGGTAGAGCCTCGCTTACGTCGGCGAGCCTGCAGGCGTCGTGCGCCCGCCTGCATGCGGAGCGCACATGCATCGCGGAGTGGTTGGGAAGCCATGCCAGCCCATCTGCCCGGTTCATTCGGCCTTGGGGGGGAGTTAAAATTCGCAACGAAGCATCCTTGTCTGAGGCTCTGCTATGCCATTTTCGGTATACGCCCCGCGTAACGCTCGCGTACCACTTTCTGCGTAGGCGTGGGTCAGGCTGACGGGCAGCTCGACCCACGTGGGACTGGGCATGTGTGGTAGGCAGGCACAGCAGTTAGGCAGCGTGGAATCACGCCAGCGTGACGGTGATTACTCAGTGGACCATGCGGGGGGAACCTATGTGACAGCCGCGCTAGCCGACGGATCTAGTGCGTGGCCCGACATCTGCCTACGGTGCATCCGGGCAACTATTGTATGGTTCACGGATAGACCGGATGTTCACAAAAGGTTCTTCTGCTGGGCGGGGTGCGGCATCGTCGGGGATGGGCCGGGAGAGCTCCGTGTGCAGCCCTGGTCATGAGCTTTCGCGAGGGTGGCACCTGACACAAGGAGGCCGCGGGCCGGTGGGTAAACACATCTGTGTACGCTTGTGCTCGTATAACGGCACCTATGAGCGCGTAGTGTTGGACAGGTGCAACATGAGGTTGGGCAAGCCCGCCTTCACGGCTATACGAGGGGGAAGGCAGTAGGATATCGTGAGGTGCAACGCCAGGCTGCAATCTTGTGCAGGGTTTGGGCTCCTGGCTGTGGGGACTGCGGATGTGCGGATGTGGATGGGCTTCTTGGCGAGCGAAGGGGCCCCGAAAGAAAGGTGCACGATATGTTTCTGCATTTCAGGTATGGCAGGGCCCCCAAAACGGAGGCAGAGAGTGTGTTTGCGCTTCGGTTCGTTGGTTGATGATTGTGCACTTTCGAGTGTGATGGGCCCGGCGGGGGAGATGCGCGTCTGAGCGACGCCAGTTCGCATGTTCTCCCAGCTCGGCGCGGGGTTGTGATAACGCAGGCCACCTATCAAATGATGCGACAGCTTGCGGAACCCTCCTTCTGCGGCTGAGAATGACTGGGACGACAGGACCATGGCTGGGCTTGTCTCTGTGTCCTCATTTGGTCAATGGATGTTGGGGGCCTCGTCTGCTTTCTGGGTGGGTGGGTAGGAACATCGTTTTCTAGGCGCAGTCGACGGACTAGCGGATCGAGGATGCGGGTGGGCGATAGATGGAGGTACTCCCGCGTGTACGAGAAACATCGAGGATGAGTGAAGTCCCCAGGCCCTAGCTATTGGTCGCGTTTCCCGTTCTAGACGATGAACAGACGGGGAGTTCAGCCTGTCAGCTCGTCCGTTGGGCAGCCGCCTCAACCCGCCACTATCAGGATGGATAAGCATGGCAGGACGAGACTGGTCTGGACCCCACGTCTCAGAAGCGTCTTGGCCGTTAGTGCGGTCAAAAACAGCGCAAGGAGCAGTCCAGACCGACACCATTGGCCAGCTGCGGTTGCGCAAGACTGGCGGTGGATGGGGCCTGGAGCCGGGGTGGCTTGTCAGCCAGGTCACAGCGGGATGTCAGCGAGATCAGAAAGGTCGGGATGCCGCTACCCTCAGTCGAGTGCTGATCAGCGCGGCGATTGCGGTGGACTGGATTGACGCCAGCAACTCCGAGATGAGGAAGAGTGGAAAGGGGACCAGAGCCGCCGTTCTTGACGATGTTAGCCGCTAGCTGTGGCAGCATGATTTAAGTCCGTGTGGAGCGCGAGGAACATGGTGGATCCCAGCCAGGCTCAACTGGAATCGCGGGTGAAAGGCGGGCGAGTCTGGTGCGATTCAACGGCCTGAATCGCACCCGGGCACCGCCCAATACCGTTTGTTATCAATGCCATTCATCGGCTGTCTTTGGATTAACATGGTAAACTGTTGGAGAGTGGCGCGCTTGATGACTTGAGAGAGGCCACCTGTAAGCAGGTGGGATTCTTAGGATTCGGATCAAGGGTGCTTGCAGGAACTCATTTCTCTACCCATTGGCCAACCTTTTCCACAGTTCCCATCCCCTGTTCTCGAGGACGTCTTCGACCCGAGACGTTGAGCGGCCGCCGACAGAAGACTCGAAAATATACTCGGTTATGTTTCACAGCCTTTCTGCATCCGAGCCTGGTCGGGGAGGCGAGCCTGCCCAGCTGTGATAATTGATGGCCACGCAAACCATGTGGATGTCCGTCAGCAAGGCAGACAGCCGGGTGCTGTAGCCAGCCACTCCAGCGGGCCAGCGCTAGCGTCGGTCCCTCAATCAACCCACGCCCGCCACCTACCATTCTCCACTCCCCGCCGTGCGTTTTGGACGATTTTCGAGGACAGAGAAAACAACAAGTGAGAGGGAACACAGTGGCATTTCATCATGTTGGATGCTGTCGTTATCTCGTGCTACACAAGCCGCACCGAACCCCAGCCTTGACGGACAGCTGCCCCCAGCACATAGTTAGCCGGTACTAGTAGCCAGTACAGTCCCAGTGTGTGCCGTGCACCGATTCAGAGAAAATGACCGCCGTTGAGCAACTGCGGCGACATTGATGCGTGATATAACCACATAGACATGAAGCTTCATATTCGCATTCATCATCCTCGCTGCGTGACTGTGCATTATTGTGTCGGGGGTCGCCATTTCACCGCAACAGCACTGCATCTCATGTAGGTTCGTCCCAGTATAAGAGCGAGCCTTGGCTCGCCCCAAGATTGGGCATCGTGGGAACCCAAGGCCGCAGCCTAACCAACCTTCCCTGTTGCATCTTGACCTAGTCTCCTCGGCCTGCATGATTGTCTGCTGCCTCGACGACTCCCCCTCATAAGAGTCGGCTGTTCTGCCAGTCCTTTTCTCCTTCCCTCCCCGCTTCCCCTAGAGGATATAAGCCACCACGATACGTAGGTCGCCGCTCCCGCCGCACCGTGTCTGGGTCCTCCGATATCGTATCCCGGCGCTGGTCTTAGTCCCACCGCCTTTTGGTGTCACCACCCCCCCAAATGGCGGATGCACCTCCCTCCTTGCTTTTGCCCCCCTGATCGCCTCATCTAGGTATCCACGCTTGCGCTGATTGGACCCCTGCACCCACCCGCACTAAGCGCCAAAGTACGGCCTTGGTGCTGCGCCAAAGGACCCCTAGTCTCAAACTGGTCCCCTATTTTTTTTCCATCACATTTTTCGGGGTCCTTATCGACGCCCGCCGCGGCGCGCACCTTGGTGGCCGGGAGGCACCAAGACGACCGGGAACCCGCGCCCTCGCCGCCGATCGCGCGTTCCAGGCCGCCCCAACACAAACAAGCTGCACTCCCTTTTGGTCAGCTCGGCTGCACCACCTAAGCCCGCTCACACCGACACGAGCTGCTAGCACCAACGAGTCAGCTTTGCCGAGAAATTCAACAAGTCGCGGTGCCGCCCGCGCCCCCCTTTCCCCTGGCACCAAACTCGCACCGTCAACGCCGCATAAGTCAGTCGCTAGCTTTCCGAAACGTCCGGCGGTCTTAACTTGACCTTTCTTCTTTTCGGTTTTTTTTTTCTTTTTTCGTCTTCTTTTTGCTAGTTTTGACTTTGACCGAGTTTCCCGTGCTTCTCGCACCCGCTCCCCTGTTGCGTAAAGCGAGCGCGTATCTTCCGTGGGGTTCGTCCACCTTCAGTCCAAGGATTCTGCGAGACCGGAGTCCCGCGATATAGTAGACGGCCATCTTCGGGCTCAGCACCCATTTTGTGCGATTTTGCCGCCTATAACCTTTCTATTCCTTCTACTATCCACAATGTTTGCGCCCAGGGGCAGGGGCTACGAGTCCGAGTCGGAGGACGAGGGGCGGAGAAAGGTGCTGGCTAGCAGATCCAAGCTCGAAGGGAGGCTCGAGGGGAAGCCCTCGCTGCAAGCGGGCGGGGCGGACGACAAGAAGAAAAAGAAGATCAAGCTGCCGCCGCAGGAGAGCATCGAGCAGATTTGGGAGCGCTTCTCCAAGGAGCAATTCACCAAGGCTCTCAAGATCCTGCCGTTCGACCCCGTCCCGGCCTCGACCGCCTCCGTCCGGGCCAACGAGCTCCTCACGGCCGGCTACGAACGGGCCGCAGAGGAGTGCAGACGCAGGGTCCGCAAGATCATCCAGGAGTGCAAGCGGGTCAACAAGCGATATCGGGATCCGGGGTTTGATCTGGTACGTCACCCTTTCCATTTCTATGTTGGTGGTCAAAATGGCCCGGGATGCCGTCTGGGAGATCACGTGTCTCCTTTTCGATCCGCGGGGCCGGTATGTCTCACCCAATGCCAGCACTACTAACATGGTCGTGACAGGATTGGGATCTAAAATGGCGAAAGGGGAATACGCTTAACTACCTGGGGAAGACCAAGTTTGAGCTTAGCACGCAGACGGCGCGAGACCCCAACTCCAGCGTCCCCAAGGCCGTGAAGCGGATCCATGAGATCTTTGATAAGCCAACTTTTATGAAGGAGATCCATGGGTCAGATGTCAAGCAGGGCGGTCTGGGCGACTGCTGGCTGATTGCCAGTCTCAGTGGTTTGGCAAATATCGAAGGTGTTGTTCGCCGTTCATGCGTCGAGTACAATACCAAGATTGGGATTTATGGCTTCGTTTTTTACCGAGGTAAGCAGCGGCCCCCTGACCATAAAGAATATTGTCGACATGGGCTTAAGAAAATAATCTGACGGCTCCTAAGATGGCGAATGGATATACTCCATCATCGACGACAAGCTTTTCCTCAAGTCTCCCTGCTGGGACGACCGCAGCATGCAGCGCGACCTTCTCCAACAGATTGACAAGGACGAAGCAGAAATCACGTACCGCAAGACGTACCAGACTGGCTCCAAGGCTCTGTTCTTCGGCCAGAATGTGAATCAAAACGAAACGTGGGTGCCGCTTATGGAGAAGGCCTACGCCAAGGCCCACGGTGACTACGCTTCGTTGATCGGCGGCTGGATTGGCGAGGGCCTCGAGGACCTAACTGGCGGTGTCACAACCGACCTGCTGGCGTCGGATATTCTCGACACGGACGAGTTCTGGGACAACGAACTCGACAAAGTCAACCAGGAGTTTTTGTTCGGCCTCTCCACTGGCCTGCTCGACGGTGGCCACGGTAACAGGGACGGCATCCAGGAACGTCACGCCTACAACGTCGTCGAGACGAAAACGCTTACGAATGGCACCCGGCTTCTGAAGTTGAGGTAAATAAAGCACATCCCGCCCAAGACGGTCAAACCTCGTTTGACCGCCGCTAACGCAGAGAATAATGGACAGAAACCCATGGGGATCGAAGAGACGAGGTATCTGGGAGGGCGCTTACTCGGACGGGTCTAAGGAGTGGAACGAGCAAGAAGTGCAGCAGGAGCTCAAGCACTCTTTCGGGAGCGACTCGGTCTTCTGGATCACGTACGAGGACATGCTGCGCAAGTTCCAGCACATCGACCGCACCCGGCTCTTCCGCGAGGACGGCTGGCGCTCCTCCCAGCGCTGGATCGGGGTCGACGTGCCCTGGCGGGCGCAGTGGCACGAGAAGTTCCACGTGCGCCTGACGCGGGACTCACCCCTGGTCCTGGTGCTCTCGCAGCTCGACGACCGCTACTTCAAAGGGCTCGAGGGCCAGTACAGCTTCGAGTTGAGCTTCCGCGTGCACGAGCAGGGCAAGCCGGACCCGGAGGACTACGTCGTGCGGTCGCACGCAAACTACCTCATGGAGCGCTCCGTCGGCGTCGAGATCCCCGACATGGCCGCGGGCAACTACTCCATCTGGATCTCGGTGCGGGCGGACCGCAACTGGGCCACGCGCGAGAGCGTCGAGGCCGTCGTCAAGCGCGAGTGCCGCAACAAGGACGAGAACGAGAAGCTGGCCCAGGTCGGGCGAGCCTACGACCTGGCTCACGCCAAGGCGGCCCAGCACCTAAACGAGGTGGCGCGCCGCCGCCGCGCCGCCGACCACTCCAAGGCCTCGGGTGAGCGCAAGGACGAGCGCCGCACCAACTGGGAGCGCCGCCGCATCAACAGGGAGATCCAGCAGGCGCAGAACGCCAAGAATCTGCGCAAGCGCGAGAGGCGCAAGGCGGAGCGCAAGGCCGCCGCCGAAAAGACCGCCGCCGAAAAGACCGCCGCCGAGGAAGCTGTAAAGAAGGCCGCCGAGGAAGCCGCTGCTGCCGAGAAAAAGACTGTCGACAAGGCTCTTGCCGCTGCGAAGAAAGACGCTGAGGGTGAGGGGGCAGAGGCCGCTTCGACAACTGCTGCCTCGACAACTGTTGCTTCTAGCACCGCTGGGAAAACCAGTGACGAGAAAGCACCGGAGCAGGTTGCTGGGGAGTCCTCAGAAGGTCAAGATAAAGTGGAGCCCAACGACAAGGATGAGAGCTCCACATCGGTTCAAGAGAACAAGGAGGAGCCCTCCACTGACAGCTCCAGCGACCTGACCAAGGAACCTGCCAAGACAGAGCCGAAGCCGGATACCGCAGCCCAAACACTAGCCGTCAAGCCCGACCAGCCAACCGGCGATGACGGGGAGTCCGTGCCGTCTAACAAGGAGGGCAATTCTGAGCGCAGCAGCGCGTCGCAAGGGAAGCCCACTCACATCGACGTACCTCCCCATGCCGACCCGACCCAAACCAGCAAGTCCACCAGCGAGGGCGGAGATGGCAGCCCTGCCTTGTCCGCCGCCAGCACTCCCCAAGATACCCCGCTCGACACACCGCAGTGCGAAAAGGCCAGCGCGGAGCAGGCTGGGGACAAGGAGAAGGACGACAAGGTCCCCGTGCCGCCCGTCGAGGGCGGCCCTCCCCCGCCGGCCCTGCCCGTAATCTGCCAGTACCACAAGGACCAAGAGGAGGCGGCGCAACGGCGCATCCAGGCCGCCGAGGAGGAGGCGCAGCAGCGCCAGCTCCAGGCACAGCAGCAGCAGCAGCAGCAGGCCGAGCCGGCGCCGCAGCCGGAGCCGAGCTACTCGGAGGACGACTCGTCCGACAGCCCCGTCTCGGACTGGGAGCAGCTGTTTGACTCGGAGGACGACGACCAGGCCAAGGAGCCGCTGCGGCTAAAGGCGGCGGCCCGGGCGGCGGCCACGGCGGCCAACGGCGGCGTCGACGTCGGCAAGGACCACGACGAGACCGAAGACGACGGCGAGTCGCGCCCGGAGCCGTGGGGCGCCGTGTGCGTCGTCGGGTTCCGCATCTACAGCCGCGACGAGGCGCTCGAGCTGCGCGTCGTCATGGAGGGCGAGGCGCTCGAGGAGGGCGGCATGGGCGAGAAAGGTGCGGCCGACCTCGATAACGCGCAGGCCAACGCCGGCGGCGAGAGGGCCAAGAAGGACGAGGAGGAGAAGCCCAAGGAAGAGGAGAAGACCAAGAAGAATGCCGACGCCGCACAGCCGCGAGACGGCCACGACGACGACGACGACGACGACGACGCGGGCTACGAGGCCGACAAGGACGACGGGAAGTCGAGGCGCGAGGCCGACAGCAACACCGACGGCTTCGCGCCTTACCAGACCATCGTCAGCAAGGGCGGCGACGAGTTCGAGAAGGCGTCAGCCCCCGTTGTCGTCGTCGCGGACGACCAAGAGGAGAAGGCTGAGGACCCGGAGGGGGAGAAGGCCGGCGACGGCGCCTAGGTGGACGCCTGCCTTGTCCCTCTCCTGTTGTATGGCTTCTGGACCTCTTTGATATGACGCGAGAACTACGTTTCAATGCGCGCGTCGCGGCGCGGGTTCCTCCTGCCCATTCTCCTGACGCCATTTTCTTTGGACCGGCAAGATGCGCCCCCGTTGCTTCGGGGGCTTTTTCGCCACTCCCCTTCTCTTTTTCTTCGGCATGATGTAACGACATTTCACCAAACGTGACGAAGGGATGGGCTATGACTGGCAATGTAACTTGTGGGAATACACGGAGGGCTATCATTTTGTTTACAGGTTTTGCGCTAATTCTTGCATTTGATCTCCTTTTATCTGCAACCATGTTTACCATGGGGTTGATTTCGAAACTTGGTAGAGGTGAAACTTCACAACACAACTCACTAAATATCGTCCTCCTCTCAAGCTCTTCTCCCCAATCTCGTCGCGCCGTGAAGTTGTGTCATGGATCAAAGGGATGTATAGACTGTGCAGGATCCCAACAAAAGCTACCAGCCATGTGTATCTACCGAGACAATTCCTAGTTAATTACTTCAGGGCTCCTTCTGCGCCCCGGTTGGTCCTGATCAAGACAGCGGCAACTCCTCCAGCACAGCTCCTGTGCGTTACATCCACATGTTCGGGATGGCCTGCCTGTCACTGGGATGGAGGGTTTTGTCATTTCAAATCAGTCGCTCACAACTGGTCACCGTGCACCTGATCACTCCATAATGCCATCAGCGCCAGTTCCAGTGACGCGTTGTGATTCGTATCCAATATGGGTAAATCTCGCAAGCATCTGTAAGCAATAACACTCCAAATTCGCATCGTCAAATCCCCGACAGGGACGAGTTGGCGTGACGAAGTGCCGGTGACTTGGCGTTAATTCTCCGAAGATGGCCAGTTTCCGTTTTAGCCGGGCCACTTACAGTCCAGCCCGCGGTCGTCGTGTTTTCGTTTCATGGCGCGGCGGACCTCATTCAAGAACCGGCCGTGACGAGAACGGGCTCCCGCAGGACACCAAAACATCGAGCCTAGACCACGTCGCTAGAAATAGCTAACAGCTCGTCGAAAAAATAAGCAACGGTGCTGGGGTCCAGATTAAGATGTCTGACACCTGAACTAATATACGCAGCTCGGAAGCGTGGGAGAGGCTCCCCCGTTCTGGCCCAGTTCTGGCCCAACTCCCGCCACCTGCTCCGGAGATGCATATAGCGCTACCCACTTGGTATACAACTACACCGGCTTCCCCAGATCCTCGGTAGCACAGCAGTGCCGATAGATCTCAGGGCCCAAGCAATGCGGTGACACCTACAGTGGCGGTATCCGGGCTCGCGGGTAATCCCAACGGCTATTATTCGTAGTAAAGTACGTCGCGTGCGGCGCCTACCCGCCTTGCCATGTCCCGTACAATCAGCAGGACATCCAGTTTACCCCAGGATCTCTGATGCTGTGAGATGGTCTACCAGGGGTCCTCGGCCTGTGCTCCCCGAACGGTGGCCAAATCGGGCACAAATATGGCGATGGCAGTCTTGAAGATTCCCCTTATCTTGCATTGCTAGGACCCTCTTTCCCCTGGTTTCCCTCACTCCCCGGTATTCAAGGTCGAGTTGCTGGCTTTGATCAATCCTCCAAACCTTTTTGAGATGGCGTTCAAGATCATTCTCCCTTTGGCTGCGGCCATAGCCACGTTGCCCTTTGTCCTCGCCCATCCCCACGGCGTGGACGAGCCCGAGTTCCAGCATAACGCCAGGCCCCTCTACGAGCGCTCCCTCGACCACTGCGAGGGCAAGTTCGCCGAGCCCGAGTTCGTCAAGAGGACCATCGACCGCTACAGCGATGAGTACGACAGGCTGCGCCGGGCGCTTGGCTTCGAGCCCGAGGGAAGGTGAGGACCCTGGACTTCGCCCCCTTTTTTTCTTTTTGCTCCTCGCGTGGCTTGCTGACTGGTCTGTCTGGCAGCCCCCACATCTCCAAGCGCGACTACATCTCCGTCTCCAAGATCGACCACAAGAGCAACAAGCCCGTCAGCAAGGGGATGAGCCTGGCTTCCTTGTTCACAGACTACGGGGCGTGCATGCTCATGCCGGCGGTCGACCAGGGACCTCTCTGTGCGCCATCCCAGTCCGGCAGCAGGGGCGAGGGTGGATCATCATCCTTCAAGTTGGGTAGTCGCTAATATGTGGCACGCAAACACTCACAGACGTCAAGGGCGAAGAGATCCGCAAGAACATCACCAACGGCGAGAAGGGAATCCCCCTGACCCTCGCCATCCAGGTTGTCGACTACCAGACCTGCAAGGTCGTCCCGGATGCCTACGTGGACATTTGGAGCTCCAACTCCACGGTATGAACAAAGCTCACTCTTTCGTTGTTCTCCGAGTTCGCCCAGGTCGGGGTGGACATGACTAAACAACGCCCGCTGCGTCATCCCACAGGGCCTCTATGTCGGAGTCCAAGGCTATCCCGGCATGGGCGACCCCAACGACGCCTCCATCCTCAAGGGGACGACTCTGCGAGGGATCCAGCCCACCGACAGCGCAGGCATCGCGTCCTTCGACTCCCTCATGCCCGGCCACTACGAGGGCCGCGCCACGCACATCCACGGTACGTCATGCCATCCATGCATATTTAACCTGTCCCGCACAGCCGCGTGGACCCCACTGACACGTCCCTTTTCCAGCCATCGTCTACCTCGGCGCCACAAAGCTGGCCAACAACACCCTCAGCGGCGGGCGCGCCGCGCACGTCGGGCAGCTCTACTTTGACCAGTCGCTCGTGACGGCCACGACGCAGGTGCGGCCGTACAGCAGCAACCGCATGGCCGTGACCCCCAACGTGCGCGACTTCCTCTTCATGATGGGCGCCAACGGCGACGACCCCATCGTGCGCTACGCGCTCGTGGGGGACAAGCTCGAGGACGGCATCTTTGCGTGGATGCGCTTCGGCCTGCGCCAGAACGCCGACCTGCGCGTCAACCCGGCCGCCTTCTGGACCGCCAACGGCGGCAAGATGAACCCGTCGGGCCCCGTGGCGAAGCCCGGCGGCGGGCGGTGGCCGCCCCGCAACAGGGCCCGCGGCGATGCCGAGGCCGAGGGGGTTGGGAAGAGGGACGATGAGGCTTGCGCCGACGAGGCGTAACGGCCGTACTTGAATCCTAGGAGCCACGCTGTCTTGAATGATGGTTCTTATTATCAGAGTTGTTTTTAGCTCCGAGGGCAACCTTCGTGAGCCGTTAGTCCTCGGGGTCTGCCCAGCTAGAATCCAAAGCAAAAAAAAAAATATGTAGAATGATATCATTATCCTCAGTGTCCTCATAGTGAATCGCCTTAGGGGGTGGATCACTGGAGCGTTCAAAGATCCACTTCCTTCCAGCACGACATCGTCTTTGCGGTTTCATGTGCTGATTGGCAAAATATTGTCTGGTGGCTCGTCATCGGCCCCAAGAACATCAGATTAACTTCGCTTTCCCACATATCCAAGTTGTAACGCCAAAAGACGGTACAGAGATTGTGAAAGGGAGAGCCCTGAGCGGCGGTCCAATGGTTTCCATGCAGACGGCTAAGCAAGTAGCTGAAATTACGCTGCCTGACGGCGCGCTGCGAGACAGCCGGGATACAATGCTAAAAAGCAATTCTAGATAGACAACTGCGGAGGTCAAGGCCTCACCCTGGATTCCGCATCTAGAGAAAGCCAGTGGAAGATGTCCTCGGAGGGGGACAGCCAGGCGCAAAGTACAAAGAAGCGGTGGTCAGGAAGTGGCGAGATGAGAAGACAAAGAAGACCCAAACTCCATTACAAAGCAAAGATATAGAACCGATAGCTTAGCGATCCCAGCTCATCCACCCAAAAGTAGACGTGGCAGAGCCGAGCAGCAGCATCGTCAGGATGGCGGCACCGGCTCGGTCGCCCGTGGTGATTTCCTTGAAGGTGCGGTCCTTGGATGGGATGGTTCCGGCGAGGGGGTCGCCGGCGCTGGTGCCTCCTGTCGAGTTTGTGACAGGAGCGGCCGCTTGGTCGATCAGCAGCGAGCTGACAGCGGCGAGAACGTTCATGCGCTCACCGGCGCCCGAAGTCTTGTCAATGGCGGGGTCGATGTACTCGCCGCCTGTCCAGTAGAAGCCACAGGCGCGGCCGGTAGCACCGCCGGTGCACTGCTTGACGGCCATCTCGGCCGACTTGCGGAGGACAGGGCGGATCTTGTCGGCCATGAAGGGCGCCACTTGCGATGCGACAGCGAGCCAACGGTGCACATAGCCCTTGAAGGACAACATATCAGCCGTGCAGCCACCCTTCTTCTGTTCGCAGGGCAGTTCGTACGCAGCGCCGTCGGCGAAAAAGTCGCGGAAGATGGACTCTGTAAGCTTCTCGACCCGTTCCTTCCAGATGGCGCCTCCGTCCGTCTATTCAAAGGCCACGAGTAGGTTAGCAAGATGTTTACTTGCGTAAACGTGTGACAACTCCAAGCAGTAAGGTGGGCGAGTAGCCATGATTGGGGCAACGTACGTAGTTGTACATGAAAGCACAGCCCTGCAGGAGGACACCGATGTTGTACGAGAACTGTGCCTTGTGAATGTCGGTGCAGTTGTTATTGACATGGCCACCGTCGTAGACCCTGTAGTTCTCGTTATCGATATAGTTGACCGCCCAAAGCCAATCGAACGTTTTCGCAGCGTGCTCTGCGTAGGTCTTGTTGCCTGTGTACCTGGCCAGGCGGGCGCCGATGTTGAAAAAGCAACCATTTGCGATGGCTGATAGTGGAGAGTAGGGGATTAGTACTGGGATGTTTCACATGCAAATCATAGCGCCGCCTTTGGCGGCAGGGGAAACAGGATATTCGAGGAGAGCTCACTGTTCTTGTAGTCGTAGCCCGCATTGGTCGGAGGGACCTGCCACCGCATGCCTCCGTTGCAAGTGTTGTCATGACGTTCGGGAGCGGCCTGTGTCGTCCATACGGCCTGGGCGAGTGCCAACCACTGCGGCTTGTCCTTTGGAGGGTCCGGGAATTTGTTCTCGGCGGCCAGCATGGCCGTCATGCCCCAGAAACCCTGGTCGTCGTTGCCGAGAGAAGCCCTGTGCTTAGCAGGCTGGAAATCTCGACCCTCGCCGACCTGGTTCAGAATGCCCTCGCTGATGATCTTGTTGTACTCGGTGTCGCCCGTCAGGTGCCAGTAGTCGATCATGGTGCCCATCAACGCACCGCCCTGCCACCAGTAGTAGTCCCCCTTATTCTCGGTTGGAGGTCCCGGCAGGATGCCGGGCTCTTGGCCAGTCTTGTTTCCGGGGTACATAAGCATCATGTCGTACGCTAGCGTCTTGGCTGATTGCTTGATTGCATCTGTCGGGCGCGCAGAGGTGATTCGATGTTAGTCTATCTGGGCCACCATCTCCGTCTAGAAACACTCTGCGCCCGAGAAGGACGGCCTGCCAAGGGTCTTGTGCGGGCTGAGGTCCCCACGATGGAGCACCCAGGCCGCCTAAAAACTAGCTACATTTAAACGTACCAAGCGTGTCTATCTTGTAAAACTGAGCACTCGCGGTCTGGAGCGACGCCGCGAGAAGCAGAGCTGCCGCGGCGCCTTGGGATAGCCTTGAACGACCCATGGCGAGAGGGTCTGGGGGCGATGGACAGCAAAGGGATTCGGAGGCAGGAGCAAAAGCAAGAGCAAGATCGGTTCGTCGGGCGCGAGTCGGCCAAAATGGAGGGTATCGCTCGTCGAAAATTATATAGCAATGAATGGAATTGCTGGCGACTCCTAAGATCGGGCGTTCAGGAGTCGAGGAGGAGCCGTGGAAGAACTGGAGATTGTAGCGATTGACTGCAGTTGGACTGTTGGGCTGGTGGCTGGAAAGGGAGACGGAGAGTTCGTCGTAGTGGTGCCGGGTCACAAACAAGAAGAAGATGGCAGCCCTAGGCGCCCTGCCCTGGCTGCGGGGGCGCAACGAACCAACCAGAGGCCAAGAAACCAAGCATTCTCCCGCCCCCTTGGTCCCGGCTTGGCCGCCTCGGCAGCGCAGGGGCTGTGCATTCCATCAGGCCCAGCCAATGTCCAGTGGTCTTGGCAGTCGCGTCTGCTCGTCACGCCCACAGCCCCGGCCCTTGACTTGCCCTTTTCCCCTGTGCTTCTTGGGGGACCCTGGCTGTCCAGCCAGTCGCAGCATGCTGTCGTTCGCGTTCTCTGCTGCACCCAAGAAATACCAAGCAAAATGGCATCGGCTCGCGGCTTACGATCGCTGCAGCTCCCGGCAAACAAGCTTCCCAAGACTTGTGCTCCGCATCATCCTTCCAGCCCTGTGGCTACTGGGTGCGCAAGTTTGACAATGGCAAGTGACAATGTGAGAAATCCCCTCTCACCCCCCGCTCACCTGCACAGACAAGGGGGTGGGCACTGAAATTGCAGCAAAGGGAGCTGACGCTAGTCCTGTTTTGCCGCACTCAGGGGAAAGAAGCGACAACCAACCGCCACCGATGGCTTCATGTGGTTCGTGCCAGCCGTGTGAGCACAGTTCACCGCTGAGAACGCGCAGGTCTGGTGGGTATGACCGAAGACAAGACAGATCAGCGGCGCAAAACAGGAATCCTTTGGACAATCGGTATCACGTGCGTTTTGCATTGAGCACACCCATCCAGGATACCCACACGTGATGTCGCACGTGATATTGATCCTCCTTTCCCACGTGCAAGGAAACCGACTTCTTATTTTCATCCTTCATCGCATAATCCCAAGTCGACATTACCCTCACGCCGGTCCGCTGACTGTCTACGCCCCCACGCTCCCATACCTGGGATAAACCACACAATACAGCTGACCTCCACTCACCAGGCGCTCGTTGGATCTCTACAATACTCTCGTTGGATTGCGTCACTGTCTATAACAATGCGCGGGCCTTGGCAAGAAGCTCAAAATGCCCCGCATGGGCCAGCCGGTTGATAAAGGCGCCATTCCCTATGCAACCCCCGCCCTCGGACTTGACCCGACACTGTTATCTCGAATGCGACACCACAGAGAGGTGTCGGTATAATCGCTACGCAGCGTGCTTATTGGCAGTCTACGATAGGGAACAGCCATTGCTCGGCGCCGAGTCCGTGATCCCTTGTGTCCCGCTTTTTCCTGCTCATTTGAGCAACCATTGACTGTGGTTATGCCAAGGCTAGCCAGCAGCTTCCTCCTGCGGAGGCATTCCCACGCGATGCGACCCTTGAAAGGGGTTTTATTTTCTTGGTCAACTGCATTGGGCAGGTCTTTTTTATATGCCGTGTCACAAGGTAGCGCCCTCATATCTTGTCACACATCTTCCTAGCACCCTCTCCGGCTTCTCACCGCGGCGGCCCGAGTGTGGTCGAATTGGCTCGCCGCAATCACAACACATACATGCATCATCTCTTGATCGCCATCGTTGCCGAGTGGCATACGGCCTGGCACACATAGAGCTGAAACCACCTAGGGCAAGGACGCGTGGCTTTCTCGACTCTTTCTCTCCAACATACTGACGAAAGCTTCAGGGCACCGGGGGACTGGAGTCCTCCATATGCCCACCACTTTGTTGGTTCTGCTGACAGCCTCGTAATGCTTGGCACCGATACTACCCCGACGGATCACGACACAAAGGCGCATCTCACGCAGATGTTCCCCGCCTCCATCTGCCTAGTTAATCTTAGGGTCACATTGTGGCATATCGGCTTCCGGCCCTTCCAAGTCCCTCTATGACCATGGTGGTGCGGAGTACGCCTACAAAAGCGACATGATGCTGCCGTTCGACCGCTCGTCCCTGTACCAGGACGACAGCTGGGCATGCCCCCATAGCTGAGACAGTATTCACACAAATACTGTATAATATGCGTTCCCACACATCTTTCGCCGGCTTTGTTGCCGCCCTGTCCCTTGCGTGTTCGGCCGTGGCCGAGCTCAGCAAGCCTCACTTGACTAACCCTGAGTTGAGAAACGCTGATGTATGGTGGCGCCAGGCCCGCGACATGGAGGCTGATCTCCCAGAGCACTCGTACAGATCTGACGATTGGGACAACAACTACATCCCCGAAGTTGTAAGGCGTCCCCCGGGGTTTGCGGGGCTGCGTTGCTACGGGCCGTTGGGTTTCAGGGGCTGACAACATCCAGTTCTTGTCGCTCTACTACCAAAGCGCCAGCTTCAACTATAGCATTTGGGACGTGGAAACAAAGAATGTCTACTTTTCGGATTGCCCGCACCCCAACGTCGTGAGTCGCCACCGGGGCTCCCAAAAGTCGTGGGACGATGTATTCAGGGCTTTTTCCAAGAGCCCCGTCGGTATAAGGGCGCACATGTCCAACCTCCTCATCATCCCGGACGAAGCGCTCGTGAACGTTGCGGGCTACGCACCGGCCACAGCGGCCGTGTTCGTCTCGCAGTATTTCCACCTCCCGGTCATGATCCACGAGGGATTCCATGGACTCGACGTGATCGCGTTTCGGGACAAGGTCGCGGGCCGCTACTCGGAATGGAGCACGTGGTGGAGCGTCTACGACAAGGACAGCCATGTCGTGACCGACTACGCCCGAACCAACGTGAGCACACACCCAACCCCGGTCTCGCCACTGACATGGGTGGATTCAGGTACGCGGCAGCTGACATGCGAGACGCAGCAAATCGAAAACTTCGCCGAGACGGGCCACTGGGCCGTCGCCGACATGACGCGGGGGCTGGCCAACTACACGACGCATCGGGCGCAGGTCGCGAACCAGCTCGACCACGTGCGCGCCCGGCTGGGGGCCGTCCTGTTCCCGGGCGGCTGGCCCTCGGGCGGCGCCTGCACGCGCAAGGTGGCCGCGGGGCCCATCGTGGACAAGCGCACGCTCGCGCGCCTGGACCTGGCGGGCGGGAGCCACATCATGGGCGGCGGCGACAGGGGCCTCGAGTGGGCATTTGGGAACCGCGCCGGCGCCGGGGGCGTGCCCATCATTGAGCTGCCGGAGGATCTTGACTGGACACCGCCCGAGCCCGTCTTGTTGAGCGGTGGTGGGGCGTACAACCTTGCTGTTCAGGGGGTGCTGCCTGGAAGCGTCTAGGGTGACTTGTGCTCAGGTGTTCATGTGGGGTTGGAAGAGATGCGTCTCGATGACTACGCAGACACCTAGGCACAAACTTGGTTCTGTAAATCTCTTCATAGCCAAGATGACAGCAGAAATGATCATTCGCGGATTCGAAGCCTCAGTATTAGTCATTGGTGCCTGGGTCGTCCTACGATCACTGCATGCAAAGGAGTAAAGGGAAAACAATAAAACATTGTTGGATACCTAATTTAGGTAGGTATTTTTATATCAAAATGGACCATGCCAAATTTAAAATCTCAAGCCACGCTTAAATCTTGAGCATCCTGCTCCGCGAAGTCCACCCCGCCGCCTCGACGGAGCGCCTGGTCATGACCTTGACGCTCTCGGCGTAATCGCCAGTGCCGCGCTTGGGGTCGGCGTCGCGGGGCGTGCACGTCGACTCCTGGCCGGCCTTGCCGCGGTCGCCGTCGACGGCGGCGAACTTTTGCTTCTCGCTCGTCGTGGCGACCATGTTCTTGGCGGCCGTGGGCGTCCAGCCGTTGATGAAGTCGCCATGGGAGCAAAAGACGTTTGCGCCGCACGACTGGCGCAGCGGCGCCTCGCCGTCCCAGCCCTTGGGGAGGACGCGGCGCAGGTCGTAGCGGATGCTGAAGCGCAGCTGCGGCATGCTCTTCATGCCGGCGGGGCACCAGTTGGGCGTGCCGTTGGCGCGGTCCTTGTACGCCGTCTCGAGCGTGGCCTCGTTGACGCACTGGGGGAAGTAGAGCAGCGTCTGCAGGTGGGTGCTGCACGTCTTTGAGGGGAAGCCGTTGCGGTCCGCGGGGGAAGGGTTCGGCTCCGACTCGCACATCCACTCGACCTTTGCGCCGCGCGGCATCTCGGCCGCCGTCTTGGCCTCGGCGTTGCCCGCGACCATTTTCAGGTCCTGCGGGATGGGGACCTCGGCGGGGGTCTCGCCCAGGTTGTAGTAGGCGCTGAAGCGCGACAAGGGCACGGGCTCGTACGTCTTGCCGGCGTCCTTGGTGAAGAGGAGGGTGGGGACCCAGTAGACGGACAGGTCGTTGGGGTTGTCGGCGTTTGTGCACGACTGCTGCAGCTCGGCGCTCGAGTTGGTCGTGGCCGTCACGGCGTCGGCGCCGAAGAAGGAGTGAAGATGGGACTTGCTGAACGAGCCCGGGAACACAATGGGGTCGATGTTCTTGGTCATGAAGGGGGAGGGCAGGTTGACCTGCGTATAGGCAAGGGCCGCTTGGGCGAAGAGGCTGCCGGCGAGGGCGCCGCTGAAAAGAACGGAAGATGATGGCATCCTGTGCTAAAGAGTGAAAGGGTTTGTTGGTTGGAAGTGAAGGTAAGTTGACAGCTGGGCCAGGGTGAAAAGAAGGGACGAGACGGGAAGAAATACGAGAGCGGGCAAGGAAAAAGGTCAAGGAAGAAGGCCTTGGGGAAGAAGAGACAGGATGCTTTCTCGGGCGGGACCAAGGCCGCCATTTATCGTCTTGAAGCCATCGCTGGCCCCTCGGCGACTCCAACATGATGAGCTGCCAAGATGGGGGTGCAGCATTCATCCTGTCCCCTTCGCCCTCCACTTTCATCAAAACGCCGTGTTTCAACACGGGCCCGGTGGATCTGCGCAGGGTCGTCGCTGGGCGGACACTGCGACCCTGACATGGTGATCTCCGCAAACATGGGAACCCACTCGGACATTTCGACATCTGAGTCGGGCTTGACATGTTTGGAGTAGATGGAATGTGTCAATGTTTCCCCTGGAGAAGGCCGACTACCGTCCTATTCCTGCATCACTTTCGCGTGGTTGGCGATGTCGCGCCAGGGCCACCGAGCGCAGACGCGGTGACGCGATGCAGCCCTACCCAGGTAGGTCGCTTAGCGCAAGCGCCATTCGGAAAATAAAAGCCTGGATAAAAAAAGCACAAGTGGCGGGGGCTGCATTCGATGGGAGAACCTGACGTCGTGCGGGAAGGAAGAGGCGAACGGTCTTTGCCCATGCTAGCGAGCGTCGTCCCACAAATTGGGTTGCTCTCCTTTCCTGTCCTATCCAACAGGGCTCCCCTGCTTGCTATCTTCCGTGTTAGGCACCTGGCGCCGTTACTTGGGCTCGTCTCCTGGATTTGCCGCCGTGGCAGGTCTGAACTTTGTCAATAGCCCTGGCATGTCCTGGCCGCGACAGCGGAGAAACGAAATGCGAGTGGGCTGGGCTTTTGTCTGATGATTTTGTTCCCGTCGCTACCTGCCGGGGTCAGGGGTCTTGTTCCGTTTCCGAGCCTTGCACGACTGCCGCTGTCTTGGCGGGGCCGATTCGGAACAATCCTCGGGAGGCGGAAGTAGCTAGCATCTGGCGTGCGGTGCTTGATGACGTACACCTGGGTTGGGGCTAATACGGCGACCATCATCTCGTCCAGTCGTGAGAGAGAACGTAGGCCGGGCGGGACGCACGCGCCGAAGGGCTGGGCAATGTACGATATTAGCCGCTGTCTCCGCTGCTTAAACGCGGCGCCGCCACCGTCGGAGAAACGACGTTCGGCAAGGGCATCGGCAGCGGCGAGAGCGCCGCGCTGCGGCAGAGGCCGATATCCCTAGTTAAGAAGAGAAATCTCGCCCGTGGTGCATTCCGCTTCTCGTCAAGGACACGCCCACGATACCGAGCTCACATGTCGGAGAGCACTATATTTCGCCCGTCAAGATGAAGTCCCTTCTATCTACTGCCACCAAGGCATTTGCCTTGCTGAACCTTCTAGGTAGCCATGTTACAAACGTGCTGGCCGCGCCGTCGGCCGGCTGCGGCAAGACGCCAACCATCACGTCGGGGCAGGCACGCACCCTGACGGTCAACGGCAAGCAGCGGCAGTACATCGTGCGGCTGCCCGAGGGCTACGACAGCAGCCAGCCGCACCGGCTCGTCTTCACCTTCCACGCCCTGGGCGGCAACATGAACCAGATCGCGACGGGCAACGAGGCCTACTACGGCCTGCCGCCGTTCGCCAACGGCAGCGCCATCTTCGTCTCGCCCAACGGCCAGACGGCCGGGTCGGCCTTTGGCCTGATGGGCTGGGGCAACGTGGGCGGCGAGGACATGCTGTTCGTGGACGCCATGCTGGCCGCCGTCGAGGCCGACCTGTGCGTCGAAACGACGCTGCGCTTCTCGACGGGCTTCTCGTACGGCGGCGCCATCTCGTACGCAATCGCGTGCGCGCGCGCCGACGAGTTCCGCGCCGTCGCCCTCATGTCGGCCGGCATCGTCAGCGGCTGCCAGGGCGGCACCAAGCCCATCGCGTACTACCACCAGCACGGCGCGCGCGACCAGGTGCTGCCCATCACGGGCGGCCGCCAGATGCGCGACACGTTTGTGCGCAACAACGGCTGCGCCGCACAGGCGGCCGAGCCGCAGCCGCCGTCAGGCGGGCTGACAAAGGTCGACTACGCCGGCTGCGACCCGGAGCATCCGACCACCTGGGTCGTATTCGACGGCGACCACACGCCTTCGCCCCGCCTGAGCAGCCAGTCGGGCAACTTCTCGCCGCGCTATATCTGGGAATTCTTTTCTCAGTTCAGTTAGGGGGCTCTTGAGATCAGGTGGTGGGTCTCCTGGTACATGTTCTTTGAACCGAGGAAACTCCATTTATAAGGGCTACTCTAGGCAGCAGTTTCGGTATTACAGGATTCATGGGAGGTGGCTGGGAGGTGGACACTTGCCTTGAGTTTGGTAGGAGGCTAGGCTCGGCGAGTCGCCGCCAAATGCCCAGGCAGAGGACGGCGACTCGGGACAGGAGACAGGAGGGCGATGGATAGCCAAGAATATCCAACTAGCAGTTCTGCGGTTCAAACATCCTGCTCTAGTAGTAGGAAGGGCGGCCGTATCTGTTAGAGCACACTAACACCTGTCTCTGCTCTCGACGTTCCTTTCGTGTTGCTCTCCCACTAGCAAGCCATGTTATAACCCGTATTTGCTTCACTCCCAGTTTTCCCTGGCCTGGCGAGGATCATAGGACAAGCGAGTGCAAGCTATTGCTTTGGCGTCTACGTCTAGGCTCATAGCAGACCAAGCTCCAAGAAAAGATTTGGACTTATGGAAGGTGAATGTGTATCCACCATCAAGCAAGCGCTCCAACGGGACTTCACCAACATGTCGCCTCTAGGGCAGTCGCCGCGCTCCCTCCCAGCCAGCTTTCCAGATTATGACGAGAAAACGGAGTGCTTGGTATTGCTGCCACTTTGGCAGACTCCCATTCAACAACAAACGACAAACTCTGGTAGTTACATTCAAGGTTGCGTTTGATCCTTCGATGTCGGCTCTTCCTACCAAACCTCCCATCCAGCCAACCCTCCCTCATAGCGACGCCACTTTTTGATCCTCCATACTAGGCCCACCCACTCGCGGGAAATGTTGCCGGGCCACCGCCGTGGCACTTGCAGCAGATCTCCTCGCCGGCCACAGTCGCGGGAGATGTGTCCGGGAGTCCCTTATGCGGACCGATCATCCTTGCAAAGTAGGCGTCGAAAAGGAGTAGGCTGTCATCAGGGATCCACGAGACCAGGCCAGTATCGGGACCCCAGTGGTAGGGTATCGCCAGAGACACCGTCGCGTGAACCGTTATGCAGCCTCGTAGGAGAGACACCTCGGCCAAGGCGGCTTGTGGCGTTGGGGAGGCTATGCCACAGGCTAAGCACCAAATACATGCTGCGGTCAAGGTCCTGATTAGACATTGGATAAAGAAGATTGCAGTTCGGGTTCGGAGGTTCACTTTTGGGTCTTGACTTCCTGGCAGGGACTGATGTGCTAGAGGATTTCGGGGTTTTCTGCCCCGCGCTCGGCCATGTTTTGTGGGCTAAAGTAAAGAGATCGGAAATGTTAGGTGCTGTGCCAGGAGTGATGTTCGTGTAGATGGGTACTAACGTAGTTGAGCTGGGAGCTAAATGTTGTGACCTTGGAGCAGACCGCGGAGCTCTACCCTCAGCAGGACTGCACAGTGCTGGGTGCAGGGAGCCGCACCTCGTGCTGCCGCATGAATGTGCGTTCTCGGATGTACATAGGCTCTTTCAGGCTTGCAGTTGACACTGTACCGGCGGCGTACCTGCACCCTCTTGTGGTCCCACTCACCAGATTCGAGGAGTGCCTCTGTGAGAGGCACGGGGAAGGTGCGTTCGAGGCCGGCGAGGCTGCAGCATGGTTATATAACCCCCCGCTGCCCACAAGAAAAAAATCTTGCTACTTCTCATCAACATCTCCGCCTCCACTTATTACTGTCGAGACAACACGATGCCGAACTCAGCTCAAAACATCACCACTACCAGCGGTCAAGCCCTACTTCGCCTAGATTTCCCGATTTCACTTTCTGTGGATCAGAATATGCCATTAAGTGTGTGCATCCATGGTTTCCCCGCTGCTTCCGCCAGATGCGACAGCTCGCGGGCGGTGTTCGCACGCCACGAACGGAGATCTCCAGGCGCATCATCAACATGTAGCGGCTGACAGAAAGGCCATTGCTAGATCACAGCTAGAGTCGACCGAGTGCCCCAGCAACTACGACCCCGCAGGTCGAGTGCCCTAGCAACTAATGGGTTGGCCCCGCGAGGCTCGAAAGGCAAGCTGGGCTTGTGTGGTGAAATGGTAGGTGCACAACGACTCTGCCACATTCGAACTCGGCCCGTTTGCTAACGAGAGCTTGTAATTTCCATGTAGACAACAGTCTGTGGCTACGACCTTGTCTCCTAATGGATGATGGCGGGGACGCGGTGGCAGATGTAGTTCAAACAAAGCCTAGACTGTCCCTAACGAGACTAGCACTTGGGAAAAGAACAAGATGGGATGCAGGGCTTTGTGCGTGTCCTTGGGCTAGAGGACAGGAGGAACAAGTAGCGCATCGGTGTCCTAGCAGTGTTGTACTTCAGGAGTGTCTAGCCACTACCGATACTCAAGGATAGGATACCTCTAGTCTAGGCCATGCTGCTCTGGCCTTCACTTTTTGGATGCATCTTTTGGCCTGCAAACTTTCGCTTCGCTCTCGCCACCATCCCATATGTTTCTAAAACCTACAAGGCAAACAATCTACCGTTTTTCACCTGGGCTACATGATTCATGTAATTCGCGACAGTTTATAAAGATCAAATATGTAGGTGTGATAGGTACAGGAGGAAGTAATCATAATATCAAAACAAGGTAAGACTCTAGTCCCAAGCACTTTTCCGCACCATAACGCCCATTGCAAAGAATATCAAGGCAGATGGGCACAAAGAAGAGACCTGTGCTCTGGGGATCTGATTGTGGCCTCCGAACGGGGAGCCTGAAGATCAAGGCACAGTCGAGGAGTGGTGCCCAGTGGCGCCGAGGCTCACTGCGTCCTTGAAGTAGGCTCCTGCTCCAGGTCGCTCATAACGACCCAGTCGCTGCCGCTCCTTCCATCGTCGTCCCAGTCGTCGCTGTCAGAGACCAGATCCGGGAATATCTCCGCGTCGGGAGGAATCGAGACGAGGTCAAAGTCGTCACCGAGATCGCCGAATAGGTCGTCGGCCTCGGGCGCGATGAGGAAGTTGGAGATGCCGTCGCTGTGGTCGGCCAGCGGGCGCATCGAGCCGTCCTCGAGCGGAAGGTCGGCGTCGGCGCCGAATAGGTGGCCGCTGCGGCCCGGGAACGCGGAGCCGCCGTGCTGGCGGCGCTCGAGGGCCGGCGGCGCCTTAGGCCTGCGGGCCCGGGAGCGCTGCGCGACGCAACGCAGGTCGAGCGTGTACTGCTGGCCGGCCAGCGCCTCGAAGCCGAAGCCGGCGCCGCGCAGGTGCTCGTCCTCGTACAGCAGGCCGAGCTCGTACAGGTCGGCGATGTCCTCAGCCTCGACCGCCTCGAAGTCGCGGTCGTCGCCGGCGGTGCTGTCGTCGCGGTAGTGGTCGTCGTTATCGCAGCTGCTGCGGCGGCGAGGGAGCGCGCTGGTGCCCGGCGCGCGGAAGGCTCCCTGGCGTTCCAGAGATGGCGGGCGGCGGGTTCGTCCTGCTGCGTTGCTGGTGCTGGCGCCATTGCGGGAGCGGTCGGGTGACGGCTGGATGTGGAAAATGCGATTGGTCTGCGGCATGGCGAGCTCTGCGCCCTCTTGGACGTATGTCGTCCAGGCCAGACGGCTCCGCGGCCTCGTTCTAGGAGAGCTCACGGGGAGTGTCCGGGTGGTGCCGTCGCTCGCAGAGGGCCGAGAGTGGCGGTGCAGCCAGTGTGCGGCCTGGAGGGTGGTGCCGTGTCGGTCGCTCAGCCTCGGACGCGGATCTCCAGCATCGACCATGGCGGCGTGGCGCTGTTGACGAGCGCCGTGGTCTCGTCGCTTAGACGAGACGCGCGGCTGAGAGGCCGGTGTAGGCTCCTGCTTGTCTTGGTTGAGGTCCGCCATTGAGGCTGTGGGATTGTACAAGGCTAAACCCATTGTTAGACACGGCTTGCTTGACGGGGGCAGAGGAGGTGTGTTTATAGAACAGGCGAGAGAAGACAAGGGCTCGGATGCGCGTGAACAATGGAGAGATAGCAGGGCTGTGTAGACAAAGATGATTGATGAAAGAAAACTATAGGTACCTCTGTAGAGAGATAGATGGGTGATTGTTGGCGGAGGTCGACGTCGGTGGCCTGGCTCAAGGGGGACAAAGATGTTGTTTCTTATACTGAGTAGCATCCAATGCTTGGCGGACTTTCAGGTGGAGGTACCGAACAAAATCAGTCACAGGACGGCCAATTCGGGAATGTGTTGGCTTCTGTTTGGCTGTAGCGCGCGGCTTCCCGCGGGATTTGTTGGCCAGGCCAAGTTTGACGCGATCTGAGTCACTTTGAGCGAGGTGTGGTGTTTGGCTGCAGCTTACTGGAGGCCCAATGTGGCGAAGTCCTCGGGAATGGTTGCTCCCCGCGTGGTGTGGGTCCCTCGTCTGCCTGCGGGTACCTACACTGGCACACCTCAGCTCCTGGACGATATTGAGGCCAATCTAGATGCCTGCGCAGGAGCGCACATGGCACTTTCAATGGTGCAGATGCTGCCTGCAGCCGAGGGCGAACCATGTCACAAGCTGACCGCCCGTCCTCGCTCCCCGTTTTCGCCACACCTTGAGTCGACGACATGGACGACACGCGATGGGACCCTGGGATAACCACCACTTCCCACGGCATACCCCCCAAAACGACTGAGTTCCTAAGGCTAGATGCCAAGATTTTAGGTAATTTGAGCGTTCTGACGAAGAATGGGCCGATGTTTAATTCTATCAAGATGGCTGAGACCGCCAATGTCTCCGGTAGCCAAGGGTTCGCTGTCTAGAATACCAGACGCGCTTACATCTGCAAGCACTTGCAGGATTTCAGACATCACCAAATGTCGGCCAGCGTAAGCATCAAGGAATAAAAGTCCGAATCCCAAAAGAAGGCCCATAAATGATACAAAGTCAATCAGATAGACAGTCATATGACATCATCAAGGTCAATAGAATCACAAAATCGCCTCGGCCAACACCCTTGAACAGCAGATGGGCATTACAAAACGTAGTCCGCCTAGCCAGGCCAAATCACGTCTCCAGCTTCTTGTTCGCAAAACCGACCCTCATCCTGCCCAGGTCAAACACGACAAACTGCGCCTTAAGCAGGATGTCCCCCAAGATGCTGATACCGATGCCCTCGGACGACTGGATGCCGCCATAGCAGGTGGTGGGATTGATGTAGCCGTAGTTGATGTAGCGACCAGGCACCAGGCCGCGGTAGCCGCCGATCCCGAACCGGAAGTCGGGCAGCCTGGCGTTGCAGGGGAAAACAAACGCGGCGTATCCGGCGTCGTACCGCGTCCCCGGCACCTTTGCGTAGTAGGCCCGCACCATGGCGTCGGGCAGCAGCAGCAGCGTCGTGCCCGTGTCGACGATGGCGCGCCACGGCCGCCGCTGGTACGCGTCGGGGGCGAGCTGGTAGCCGTCCACGGTGATCTCCCAGTAGATGGACGACCTGCTGGCCGCCGAGTACGCGATCCCGCCCGTGTACTCGGCCCGGTTGACGTAGCCGAAGTTGAAGTTGCCCGCCTTGCCCTTCTTGAGGTTGGCCGTGAAGAGCGGCTGCCGGAGCGACGGCCGCATGTTGTCCATGAAGGTCTTGGCCGGGCTCGGCCGCACCGTCGAGCCGCTCGACATGCCCATGCCCATGATGCCCGAGATGTGCACGTCGCGCGTGAACATGTCCGACACCCACTGCGCCCCCTGCACCGTCTGCCGCGCAAACGACGCGCGCCCGAGGCTGACCTTGTCCCGGTACACGATTCCGCCCGCACCCGAGCCGTCGCCGTAGCCGATGTTCCACGTCGTGCGCGACACGCGCCGCGCCGTGCTGGACCGGCCGGGCCTGTAGATGGCATGGGTCGTTCTCTGCTTCGAGGGCGTGTCGGAGCTCATAACCCAGCTGGAAGGTGGAGAACGTGTCGGAAGTTAGCACCACTACGCTGGCGAGTCGGGACACAGCAGCCGCTCGTCTGGCGATGATAAAAAATAGAACCCTGAGGGAGGACTTGCAAGTCTGCTGACCCAGTGTCAAGGACAACATTGATGGTCTGTGGAGGGGTCCCGATCTTGACAGGGGTGATGTATTCAAGATCGTAGCCTATTGGAGGCGGGCTCGCGGCTACTGTCCCCGTAGCTGTTCCGGCACCTGAACACGGATGAGACGTCAGCATCTCGACGTGGGTGTGGTCCTCAGGGCTCTGCCGACAGGAAACGTGCGTAACTAACGTTTGTTGACTGCACCGGCGAGGCCCACGTTCAACCGGATGGCTGTGCTCAACTCGGCGGTAAGAGGCACATGATACTTGGCATACGCTCTCAACATGGCCTCGAGGCCGCAGGAAGAGTTTTGGCCGTCGCTTGGAACGTAATTTTCGTTCCGGACCTGCATCAGTGAGAAGGACTCCCCAGATGGGGGCTCCGCAGGCGCCCCGCTGCCTCCACGGGAGAGGAGCAGGGCTGTGAGGATGAATTGGGTTGGCGAGAAACGCATGTTTGGTGAAGGATGCGCGGGAGGCTATATCCAGGACGACATAGGGGTACAGAGAACCCGACACACAGGATAAACGCGAGAAATAGAAACGGAAAACAACAGAGGGCTGCCGCGCTAGACAGCAGGCGGCGAAAGGAGCGACAGGAGGTACAAGGAAAACACGCACCCCTAACGAATGGAGGGGATAGGTCGGTGGTTGGCGAGGCTGGTGTCGAGCTGCCGGGATCTGATGCGAGACCACCATCGAGTCTAGCAGACGCGCCGCCTCCCGACCTTTTGTTGTTTCTGCCCAAGGGAGTGATTCTGTTGCGGCTGGTAATGCGAAGTCTTGCTGGAATGCGCGATACAGCTTCATCTCCCCAACCCATCTGCTGGGTCCGCCATTTTCCTTGGCCGCGGTGGTCGGTGGAAAGTGAGACAGTCCTCGGCATTCCGGAAGGCGACGCGGCGACCCGCTCGGGATTCCGCAGTCACAACACTCACCAAGAATAGCAAGACAGGAGAAAATAGGGTGAAGCGAGAAAGTGTTGACGGACGGAATAAAAGCTCCGATAGATGGGAGTGTCCGCGACAGGGCTAGCCAATAAGAGGGGGACGAGGGCGACAAGTCATTGAGGCATTCTAGTTTGAGAACATCAGGCCCCGTCTGGGCTCCGTCTGTCTCGAAGTCACTCCCATCTCCAAATATCCTTCTACTGCATCCTGATTCAGGTCGAATCTGTCGACCGTGATTCCCGACATGGACACATTGACAAGGAGCTACGGCTAAGGGAGACTGGCATAATGGGCATTGCCGAAATGGCCGTTAGAGCCCAGTACCGCATAACGGCGTGCTTTCTTCGCGACAATAATCTTAGTGGTGCCATTGGTAGAGATCTTGACCACCATTGCTCACGTCGACAAGAAAAGCCTATTTTTGTTTGTATTTTTTTTTTTTTTTTTTTTTTTTTTTTGGATTTTGAACTTAAATTAAAAAAAATCCCCTCCGGGAGCCCTACCGGAGGCCTCCTGCGGAAAGCTCTTTTCCCGCGTAGGACGTTTCTCCTACGGAGGGCCCCGTCAGGCCGGAAAAAAGAGCGGAAAGAATATGCCCCAAAGCCACCTCACCCCCTAGCCGCGGCCCTCCCAGTCCTTGGCGCCGCAGTCGTACTGGCACAACCCCTTGAACTCGACGGAGCCGATGTGCCAGTGCTCCGAGTAGCACGTCTCGGTGGCCACGTCGTAGCGGCAGTCCGGGCACATGTCGTTCTGCAGCAGGCCCGCCCTGCGGATGCGGTACGCATTGCACGCGCACTCGGTCGCCTTGGTGTCCGTCAAGCCCTCCCACCGGTTCGGGTTCTTGACACCCGAGACCGCGTCGCCGCCGGCGGTGCTCGACACGCACACGGCCTTGTTGTGGTAGTCGTACCCGCTCAGCTTGACGAGGCGGTGCTTGCCGTTCTTGAGGTTCACGACGTAGGCGCCCGTGAACCGGAGCGTGCCGTTGATCATGAGGGTGCCGGGGATGGGGGACGTGTTGTTGGCGATCTTGATCCCGTTGAAGAACCCGCTGCCGTCGCTGACGACTGTGCCGTTGGCCTTGGCGGTGTCGTTGGTGAGGGTCGTGCCATTCCTGGTGCTGTTGACTGGGGGCTCGGCTGCCGAGAAGATGCTGGCTCCGGCGCAGACGGTGAGGAGGAAGAGGAGCTTGAACTGCATGGTGATCGATGCGCGGGTGTCTCTGATGGGTTTGGGGCTGCGTTTGGAAGGTTTTGTTTTGGTCAAGGATGTCAAGGTGGATAGACGACTAAAGGAATGGCGACCAAAAGAAGGCCCCGGGCCTCTATTATATAGATGTCATCGTTCCGGTGGCGGAATATTTCCCCGTAAGCCTCCCAGTGAGGCGTCCAGCGAGGCGTTACAGACTTTACATCCCCGCGAATTGGGCACGATTGACAATCAGCCGCAGAAGCATGCTTCGGGGCATGATGCATTCAGCCCCTGTTTCGGCTAACTGTATATGTAGGACTGGAGGGAGGAACGGCGATTTGTGGTGGTTTGGCTTTGTTACGTTTCTTTTTGTTCTTTTACTTTGTATATGATTGCGTTATTTTTCTATATCGGTTGGAATTAGCCGGTGTGCGCGTGCAAAGCAAAAGGAGGAAGGTCAGAAGGGGAGCACATGGCTGCGGCTCCGCAGCGCCCACCGATCACGAACGGGAAAGTAAGATAGAAAGCTTGAAAGGGAAGCTTGAAATTTCTGATTGTAGATATCAGACTTTCTGCCTGGTACCCAAAAATAAACACCATGGCGTTGCCAAAAGCCACAAAGATCGCCGCGCTGAAAACTTTTTGTGCTTTTGCATCCTCCTGTGCTTTAGCACGACGCGAAAATCTCCCCAGCCAGCGAAAGTATTGAAATTGAAAATCATCGAGAAGAAAGACAGTAGACAGCCATCGTACCTGAAGTGAATAGATGGAATAAGGATAGTCGAGCGATAAAAGAAGAAGTAGATGTGTTCGAATACACGAGCGGGTGAGCCTCCGCCCAGCAAAGCCAGTCCGCAATCCTGGAAGTGTTCTTCCCTGTCCCGCCA